CAAATCATCTGAATGAAGTCAGCAAAAATGGGTAATGTATTCATTTCTATTTCCGCATCAACAAATGGTAATAAATATGCGACTGGTGACAAGTAGAGTTTAGGAAATGGAGACGCGGGGTCTCTTGATAATATCAGAGATGACTTATTTAGCGCCAAAGGAAATGTGTTAGTCTCCAACGAACTTGCAATGTCAAACAAATTAGCGGACAGAAAGGTCATTTCGTCTTCTCGTGACATTTCACGGGAACAGTAGTCTTCGAATTTGATAGGGATGAATGGGTTGACCAATATCCATATTTGAAGTAAGTTATCCTATGAGTTATATATTACATAGATAATTATTCATATTAATAATATATCAACAATATATTTATAATTTATATGATAACAAACACAAATCCCAAATGTTGATTCGACTATAGGTAATATCCCCGGTACTCCTATAAGTGCTTTAAGTCTCTCAATCATCTCATTGATTTGTTCTTGAGTGTTTTCAGTGGACAATGTGATTTTGATGACACCCATTTCACTGTCATTTTTTAACGCGACTCGGTTATAAAAGATTTCGCCATCGCCAAAGTCCTCAACGAAGTATTCCTCGTTCTCCACAAATTTGAAAAAGTCTCTGTCGTGGAGTTCTCGTGGAGTTGTCATGACTTATTTAGTTCTTTATTCCCATTAGATCATTAAATTAGAAAGTAATAGTTCATAACTTATAAAAGATCTAATATAGACCAACACAAGAATCAAAGAGTAGTATATCGATGTTATGAAAGAAAGTATATTAGAGAATCGAATTATAAACAACTGAAAGGCAATAATTTACTTACTGACGTATGTAAACCCCGAGAAGTCGACTCCTCCATTCCTCGGAACAGATTGTTTCTCCTCATTAATAGCGTCTTGTGTCTCTTCCAAGAATTCCTCCGAGATCATTGCAGTGTCATCTTTACTTGTCACGTTTGGTATGAATGGCGGTTTGATCTTTTTTGCAAGCACTAAGTCGAAGTCCATGTTTTTAAAGAAGGGATGCTTCATCATCACATCCGGGTCGGTCAACCGATCTGTTGGGTCTTTCTGGAGTAACGCGGCGACAAAATCTTTAATAGCCGGCGGCGTGTTTTTCGGGAATCGAACGTCGTCCGAGACTATTTTCTGATACATCGTTTGGACGTCATTATCAAAGAAGGGTGGCAGTCCCAATAACATTTCATAGATTAAAGTGCCATAACTCCACCAATCAACAGCAAAGCCATATCCATTCCCCAACAAGATTTCTGGCGCTAAGTATTCCGGTGTTCCACAGAATGTATTTGTTTGGTCTTTATCAGTCAACCCTTCTTTACACAGTCCAAAGTCGGTAATACAAATATGACCGTCGTCTGTTAATAAGATGTTTTCAGGCTTCAAGTCACGGTATACAATCCCCGCATCATGAAGATATTTCAATCCAATTAATAACTCCGCAGCATAAAATCGCGTTCGTTCAATAGAGAACCGGTGCTCCCGTTGTAAATGAGAGAACAGTTCCCCGCCATTGACAAAGTCGAGAATGAAGTATAACTTATCACCAGTTTGGAAGGAGTAGTGCATTTGCATCAAAAATGGATTCTTAGATTTGGATAACACACTCTTCTCTGCCATTGTATGTTCGACTTCATTATTATCAATAATATGCGACTTATTCAAGATCTTCATCGCATAAACTTTCCCAGTCTCCTTCTCTTTCACTTGCATCACTTTACCAAAAGACCCCTTTCCTATTAATGATAGCATTTCAAAGTCATCAACCGTCTTCTTTTTCTGCCCTTGTCCATCTACAACGGCTTGCGGTTGACCTTCAGCTTTGGAAGGTTGTGTAGTCCCCGTCTTTGTTTTCAGAAAACGAGAAACACTTTGGATCCAATTGTCCCGCTCTTCTGAGGACTCTGCAGCCATGAAAAAAGTACGATTGGGTGTCACTATCCCAAAGCAATTTTTTTTCTTCTCATCTTCAACTAAGACCTCCGACGCAGAATTCACATCAACACACCCTAAGCTGTTCACATCCTTTTTATCTTTAAAATAAAATATCATCCCCGTCGGTGTTAAGACACACCAGCGCTTTTTCCAACTCTTCCAACTTCCCCCTTGTTTCACTAGCCATCCAGCCCTAACATTATCCATTGGATTTGGTCTTTTTCAGTTTCATTATTTAGTTGGACGTTTTTTTTTGTTTGTTCGCCGAGTTCTATCGATGACTTCATTGGTTTTCGGCAGCATTTTACTTGTGGACTTATTTGGTTGGTGGGGATCTATTATGCCTTTTTAAGACTCTAAATACTTGGAATGAGTTCATTAAAGTAATTTGTCATTTCTTCAAGTCGTTTTTCTTCATATTTGAGTTGTTTGGTAACTCAAATAATATCAAATGATTGTTAAAGCTTGAATTGCAGGTGTTTTAAGAAATTATTCAGGCTATTCTCTCGTTCGGCAAAACTCAATAACACATCGGCAATATAAAAATACTGTTCTCTTCACTTCTCTACCTTTGATAATCATTATATCTTTGTAAAACACTTCCTTCTAATTCTCTTGTTGTTAGTATATTTGACTTGAATTTATCGGGAAGTTGATGGCTATTTTTGGATTCTTTCAACAACATCTCAATTCAGAAATAATACTGTATAAGTCATATTTAACAAATTATACTATATGTATAATACACTATTCTTGTTTGTGAAAAACTGGCATAAATGAATTTGACATTCCTGTTGGTCCCGACAAAACACGTTAGAAGTTACCAATTTTTGTCTTTTTCATTCTTCAAATAAAACACTTCACTAAATAATTGGTTACATAAGTTAAAAAACTATATATATACTATAGCTTAATATAGTAAAATTATAGCAATTTTATAATAATTTTATACTTCCGTTGACAGTACAATAGGACGTACAGAATCGGGATTATTCAAACTTGCAAATGACCAGTCATACCATGACGGGTTAATTATGAATACGTCAAAGTGATCTTAACTGAAAAATGAATTACCTCAAAATGACTTTTCGGCGATGTTTCTTCTTGCCTTGGTGGATGCCATTTCGTCTGGGGATCTTTGGAGTGAGAACTGTTGATTTAGCTGTTTCTTGTTGTGCCAAAGGCACAACTCCGACCCCGGTTTCTTTCCGCCTTCATAGACGTCCAGAGTTAATTCGGAGTGAGCGGATTGGATACAGAATTTTCCATTTCCCGTTGGTTGAAGAGTCCAGTGGTTATCAGCGAGTGATACATCGTCATTGGTTTGCATGATAAAAGACCCAGCTTTAGTCTTTCCTTTTTGGACGCCAAGGTACTTTCCTGAATTCAAGTTTTGAATGAGGAAACAAGAAGGATGTGCTTGATTTCTATAAGGGATGAATTGGAACAATTGGTTGGTGGCACTGTGTCGATTCCATAAGCAAACTTTGACGTTGTCTGATGTGCTTCCTCTTGGGATATCAATACATAGACCTTCACAATGACTTGGTGATAATGTATACCCTTCACGGGATAAGATACCTTCGGCTATATAATCTTTGTCCTTCTCCATCTCAAATAAGATCTGACACTCCCGCTCAGCTGTTGCTAATTTTGGTTCAAAGAGTTCCATCTCACGTGTCATGATGACACATATCTCGGGAAGGAATTTACACTCAACTTGAAGTTGTTGCATTATCCTGAATTGGTCCATCACTATTTTGCACATATATTGGCACTCCGGGAATGTTCGTATTGAGCTCAGTAAATTAATACCTTCGTATTAATAATAATAAAAATATAATATTACTAAAGATTTATATAGTATGTTGAATGGTATAACAAACTGTTGGAAAGTCTTTGTTCGTATTCCAGTCTGGAGTGTCTCGAAAACATTTTGAATGCTTTTTCAAGTTTTTCACTTATATAACCAAATTCCTAGAAAAAGAGTTTTTAAAGAGTCAAATTGAAGTGACTTGATATTGGAAGAATTGCGTGAAAATTTGTGGGAAAATTGACTAAATTACTTCGCCTATCAATACATCATTGTACTTCTAATTAAATTTTAATATTTTTTATTATAACATCTCAATTACAGGGATGTAGGGAAGTAAAAAATTCATAAAAAAAAGAAGTGGCTCTCTTCATTGAAGTCTATTGATTGACTCTTATAAACTTAATTAATGATTTATTTAGTCATTTAATAGTTAGTTATTTCAATTAATAGATTCTTGAAAAAAAAGGTGGCTCTTTAAAGTTTAAGTCAATAGTTTACTTGTTATTTGATATAATACTTTTATAATTTATAAAAGAAATAAACTATAAAAAAGTATTACAGTCTACAAAAAATAATAACACTTTGTATTATATATTTAAGTGTTATCGACTATTTAATCATGGAGTCATTGTAATGTTGTATTGCTTACATTAGATGTGTATAAAATTTTTGAGTTTTTTTTGATTACACGTAAAACAAATTCTTTATTTATATATTTATTTAACCATTTTAAATTATTAACCAAAAATGTTGTTTTATTAACAAAAGACAAGTAGAATCTATTCCGATTTTGTATCAGTTTTATGTACCATAATTTATAATATGCAAACTATAATTATGGTTTATAACGACTACTATAACTTTAGAATACTATGGCAACATCGCTTAATTATCAAGTTTTATCGTCTTTTTCTATCTTAAAAATATCGAAGTGCAAAAAAACATGTCTGTTTTTTACAAATACATTTTTTATAGTAAATTTATAATAAAATATCGTAATAAATAGTTTTTCACTTTTTAGGAAATGGAGTTTTTTGTTAAGTAAAAAATTTTTATTGACCAAAAAAACGAAAATCATCGGGACAACCGGATTGAAAGAATGTTACATTTTAAAATACTATTAAGATATGTTACAACGAAAAAAAAATGTAAATAATGAACTTATAAACTTAATTCAATAAATTATACAAATAACAATAAGAAGGTTGATTTCCTCCACTATAAGATCATAGAAAACAAAAGAAAACAAAATTGCTAATTAAGTACAAAATACGAACAATAAATTAAAATAAATAATACAAAGAACTATACAAGTATAATATTTTCAGTACTTTTATGAAGCAGATTAACTTTCAAAAGAATTAAGTTAAATAAAGTAAATAAAAATAAGAAAGCACTTTGTATGTCTGTGACTCCACACCCATCGCCAGATATCTCAAAACAAGAGAAGTCTGTAGACAAGCCTTTATTTTTTAGTAAAGAGTGTCGTACCAATAATCGACCAGCAACGATCATAGGTGCAGATAGACGTCGTATCTTCTCCTCACCCAAACTTCCAGAAGAAGACAATGAGAAACAAATATCTCCACGGGAACACGAGTCCTCATTAAGTCCTTCAGAAACAACACCAAGAAAAATGCAGTGGGGTGGAAGTAAAAGGAAAAATCGGGCTACAGTGCAATTAGAACCACAACCGGAAACAAGAAGAATCTTACTTGGCAGTCGATCTGCGTTACATGATATAGACGACGTCGGCAGAAGATCATTTCTGAAACAAAGGAAAGTCGAAGACGTCGAGATTGAAAGTCCATCACCCGTCACAACACCACAAAGGGAATTGGACTTCACTATCGAGACACAGAACACTTTTTTTAATCCCATTGCACCAAAGAGGTGGATCGAAAGTGAACACGAACCGAGTCGAGAGTACATCGCGTCGAATATGGTGTTATACAATGACATCACTTCTTATTTCACTGACAAAGAGATGTGGCTGAAAACAAATATGCTCAACAACTTACCATATTATGCCACTGCAAAGCGCATTAAAGTACTTATGTGTACGTGGAATGTGAATCAATGTGTATTCAACATCGATGAAGTTAACAAGTGGACACAAGGCGTCGACGACGAGCCTGATATAATAGTGTGTGGGTTACAAGAACTTGAAATGAAAATCGACGCGATCATTACGGGGAAGAAGTACTCTGAGAAGTCGATCATGTGGGAGAATTTGATCTTAGCTTCAATCAATCGAGGACCCAAAATGTATAAGAAGTTGGGGTATTACCAATTATGCGGAGTCGTCCAGTACGTCTTTTTTAATACAGAAATGGAAGGAAAGATCACCGAAGTTGGGTATGAAGATACTCGAGTTGGTGCGATGAGTGGCAAATTAGCGAATAAAGGAGGTGTTGCGTATCGCATGAAAATCTACGACTCAACTGTTTGCTTTGTTGTGAGTCATTTGGCTGCTCATCAACACTTTTGGGAGAAGAGAAATCAAGACTGGAACGAAATCGCGAAAATGAGGATCACATATTATTCGGACATTAAGAAGGAGAAAATGAAAGTGAATCTATTAGACCATGACATTGTCTTCTGGGAAGGCGATTTGAATTACAGAGTGGAAATGACCGACTTCGACGTGAGGAAGAATTTGAAGGCAAAGAAGATGAATAAACTGATTAAACACGATCAACTGTTACAATCTATTCAACGAAAAGAAGTCTTCAGTAACTTCTCTGAAGCGCCAATAACATTCGATCCGACGTTTAAAATAGTGATTGGGTCGGGGGAATACGTTGACAATAGGATCCCGTCGTGGTGCGATAGAATCCTGTGGAAGACTGAAAATCGCCATCACGTCGAAGTCGTGAAATACACAAGCCACGAACTCTATCAAAGCGACCACAAACCCGTGTCGTGTGTGCTCAACGCAGACTTACAAGAAGTCGACAAAGACAAGAAGCGCATTGTTGAAACTTATTTGAAAAGGGTTGCTGAGAAGTATGAGAGAATTAAAGTGCCAAAAGTGATTGTAGAACCCAACATATTGACTGTCGAAGGTGTCGAGTTATTTAAGTCGTACACAGTGAAGACCACAATACGGAATGTTGGGAAATTTACAGTGAAATACAGTGTTAAAGATAGTGTTGATGGGGTGTATCAAAACGACTGGCTTTCTATTCAATCGTGTGATGGAGTTATCGACATTTTTGAAGGGAAAGATGTTGTTGTTGTTACCGTTCAAATCTACATCCAACTGCAATACGCTTGGATGTACCAAGACAGAAACATGTTACTGAAAAAGGTTGTCTTCCAATTTGGCGACGACAAAAGTCTCGAAGTCCCGATGACAGTCATAGTGAAAACACCTCCTTGTATCTTCGGGATGCGTCTCGAGTCACTAAATCGATTACCTCGGCCTATTGTAGGACAACCTAATAAGAGTGTGTTATATAATAAACTCCCATTTTGGGTACCAAAAGAGATCTATAGGCTGACAGATTATATTATTAAGAATTACCAAATGAATTGCTTTGTGGAAACGATGCCAAAAGTCTATTCAGAAGACCAACTCAGGAATTTGGTGTATGCTTTGAACACGGAATCGAATTTTGATAAAGGACCAATTCAATTGTTCTGTGACGGACTACTCACATTCTTGTCGGCACTCCACCACCCACTCTCTTTTTATGATATGACAGATAACAATAACTTAACCGAGGCAGACATATTCAAAACTATTAGATTTGTTATACCAGATGAGTACAGACACTTGTTTTGTTACATCGTGTCTTTCATCAAGAAACTTAAGATCCTTGGGGAAGAGCCAGACACCTTAGTCACTCGATTTGCACCTCATATGTTCCGGTGCTATAAAGGTGTTAAAATAGCCCCATTCATCAAGTTTCTGAAGAACATATTTAACACGGAAATCTAATTCAAAGCAACAAAGACTTACCAACAGTCCGATTTTTTTATTTATATCAAGTATAGTTCTTTTTACTATTTCTTGTTCATTCATTTTAATAGCACAGAATTCTGAAACATTTTCTATAAATTCTAATAAAACTTTATTAAATTTTTAATAAATTTCTAATAAAATTTTAATAAAATTCTAATAAATTACCATTAATTTTCTAATAATTTTCTCATAAATTAATAGCATAAAAAAACAGGTAGCTCTTTGAATCGAATCAGTCAAATAAAATAAACATTTTCATTACTTTTTTTAATTAGAGTTACTTGCGATAATAGTTTCCGTATAGTTTTAGTCGACCTGAGATTGAATGAAGTAGTTTCCAAGTTACTTTGGTTGTTTATTAATTAAATAGAAAGGGATACTATTATAATACTTAATCTCAGATCTAACTCATTTAACTATAAATGAACCAATAAAATGGATCCGACGCGAAGAAAAATGTCAATGAACCGAATTCAAATTCCATTAATAGCACAACACAAAACACCAATTTCTGTGGCTTATTAGAAGAGTAACCATTAGCCACTTTTCTAATAGTTCTATTAATTAATCAGAGAAAAAAAAGACAACTTGAGCTCGAAATTCAAGTCATGGACGACGAATTGTTGCTCGGCTTTCTGCAAAAGAAAATGATGCTGGTGCGATGGATCGAATCGATGGTTGGTGTTGGGATCGACCCGGACCTCTGCAAGTCATTAAAGAGCGGAACTGTCTTGTGCTTTGTCACTAAAATGATCGACGACGACCTTATCCCTTTCATTCACGACTCGAAACACACGTACAAACAAATCGAAAACTTAAACATGTTCATTCAAGTCTGCAAAGAGATGCACGTCCCTCTTTTAAGACAAATTATATATGACGACTTCGTTCAAGGCGTTTGTTGCTTAGAGTACCACAAGTATAGTATCTATTTTTTATATATTTACTATATTTGGTAGTTATAAATATATATAGAACAATTATAATAATTATACTATTCTATTATTATATTTAAAATAACAAATAGAACATCGTGAAAGTCGTCGAATGCATTTTCCTCTTTGTCACCGAGTGCTTTAAACAGTACGACATCAAACCATTTCCTGAAGTGAAAATTTCTGAGGTCAAGTCGAATATGCCAAGTGCTGAAGAGATTAATGTGATCCAAGAACAGCTCAAATTGTCACAAAAGTTTGTTCTTGCGGGGAAGGTACGAGTCTCTGATGAAGTCTTCCGTCGTACTTTAACATACTTAATGTCGACTAATAAGGAATTTAATAGTTTGTTTTTCATATTTATTAGAAAGTCATTCCAACTCATTATTATATAGAAATAAAATAGTATTAGAGAGAACTAGTTGACTCATGACTAGTGGAGGACTTTGAAAAGACTATTTCGAAGGCACAGGCATACTTCAGACGCTTTTTTGCAAAGAATGAAATGAACGCATTAAAGAAGAAGAGTGCGTTTCGATTGAAAGTGACGCAAGAGATGGTGAAAACAGAAGAGGACTATGTCCGGTACTTACGAGAAGGCATGGACAAATACGTCCATATCATCGAGAACTATGTGAAGCGTGGCGTGTTAAAGACCGATACCGTAGAAGTCATCTTCAGTGATTTAGAGAAGATCTATGCGTTTAACAAAGGCTTCTGCGAGTCACTGAAAAAGGCGACGAAAGACTTAGCGCCCAACACTGCATGGATATCCGTCTACAAGCAAATAGAAGGAGTTAAGGAAGTGTATACCATATATATGAATAACTACTCGTTATCATTGAAAAGAGTTGAAGAGATCATGTGCATTGACTGTGTGAAAGATGCGTTAGACGAAGAGAAGCAGAATGGGAAAGACGTGTCGTCGTATTTGATTATGCCCGTCCAGAGACTTCCAAGGTACGTCTTACTGTTGAATGAGCTGTTAAAAAGAACGTGGGAGACGCACCCCGACTATGCTTTATTAAAAGAAATGATCACATTAGTCAAGACAGTAACGACGGAGATCAACGAGAACAAAACGAAGGCGGACAATGCGAGGAAACCGGTGAACGTCTTAGACAAATACAAACATGGCAAATTCACTGATTTAGTGAATGAAGAGATCTACTACGAATGTGACTTGAAACATAAAACCACGAAAGTAGTGCTTATCATGACGAACACATATCTCTATATAGCAACTAACGACGTCATTAAATACGCATTTCCAATGAATCGAATTGTCCTCTTGCCATGTAATTCCCGAAAAGATGCGTTTAAGATTCGTGTGGGGAAGAAGACGAAGGTGAAACTGATTGGGTGCAAGTTAAGTCGCGACTTTGGGGTGATTAAAATGGTTGAGGGGATACTCCGCAAGAACAATGCGCAAGAGATGAATAAGATGGTGGCGTCCCTCCCAATAACAGCGGAAGAGACTCGTAAGAATGAAATTAAGAATAAGAGTGAAGCCGACGTCTTCATTCAAAGAGATGTCGACGTCGAGACGGAATTGATGAAACGGTTGAAAGATAACAACTCGAAAATTGGTGTCTATAATCGACGTGACACGCCACTCACTAATGACCAACTTCCTTTTGTCACTGTTATTGTCAAAGGACCAGCACAACAGAAATTAGTTTCGAGGGCGTCTTGTATTCCAGAATCCTTCGAAGACTCCGACAAAAAGTGTGTGAAAAAAGACCGGAATTCAGACGTCTTCTCACTTACTATCTCATCAAAGCCATCACTCTCAAGCACTCCTGTTGTCACTACTAGCACACCACAAGCTAACAAAAAAGAACGAAAAGCATCTGTAGCAGACTCAACACTCAAGTTATCGAAGAATGGAGGGAACAATGACTTGACACGAACTATGTTAAGACAGAAAGGTCCAGCAGAGATCATTGATGGACATCGTCTGAAAAATACACTCGGCATGGATATCTATTCCTTCACAGAATTGGAAAAACACCCCGACGGTATCGATAAAGACGATCTGGTCTTCCACCTCTCCGACGAAGACTTTGTTGAACTCTTCGACGCGGACTTCAAAATGTTCAAGGAGTGGAAGTCATGGCGGCAACAATCAGAAAAGCAGAAGTCCGGCCTCTGGTGATTTGTAATTGAATTTCAAAAGTAGAAGAGTTTCAAGATGCCCAGCACGGGCTGAAGGAATAATAAAATGGTAGTAAAAGTACTATAATCATATAGTATAATTGCAAGACTCAAAAAGAGAAGTAAAAAGGGTTTGGAGCAATTTGGTGGACTACAAAATAACTGGAAAATCAGAGGATGCCACGAGCAAAAGGAAAAGGAGGAAAGAGAGGAGGCCGAAGAGGTGGGATGAGCTCCGAAGGGCGTGAATTAGAATTTAAAGAAGTGGGACAAGTGTATGCACAAGTCACTAGGATCTTAGGGAATCGACGTATCGAAGCTTACTGTTTTGATGGGAAACAACGGTTGTGCCATATTAGAGGACAAATGCAACGCAAGGTGTGGATATCAGTAGGAGATGTTGTGTTAGTATCGTTGAGAGAATATGAGGAGGATAAAGCGGATGTCATCAAAAAGTATAATGCGGACGAGGTCATCCAATTGAAGAAATATAAAGAACTCCCCGAGAGACTGCAGACAGAAGAGGTTGGCCAAAAGAAAGATGTAAATATCCGTTTTGGTGTTGGAGACAAAGTCTCTGACGATAGTGATGCGGGCGATTTTGATGATGAAGAAAAGGAGGACGACGATGAAGACAGTCAAGACGATTTGCCACCACCACAAAACCGAGTATATACCCTTGATGATCTTTAATTTTTCAGTGTTCTTCTTGTTATTTGGAGTTGTAATGAATTAGAACATAGTTGTAGTGTGGCATTTGTAAACTATACTATTAAATATATATTTATAATTATTATTATTATTATAATAAGGAAATAGGTATAAAGAGAGGAACTGTAAATAAAGAGAATGAACGCACTCGACAAGATCTTTGATACTTTACACCAAAATGTGAAAGAGGGGAAATTGTATGAGGCTTTGATGCAGTACAAATCGCTTTATTCAAGATATGTTAGAAGATCTCCCACTCATGGACTGTCAATTATCACAGACGGGTGTACCCTCTTATCTCAAGAAAAGGACTTGAACGCGTTTTATGGGTTAGTCGACTTCTACGTGAAAATACTGACGGCCAAAAAAGAGGCAGTGACTGAAGAGGAGGTCAACCCACTCTTAGCAATCAAAAATACACCAATCGACAAAGAGAAAGAAAAGGCGCTTGAGGAGATATTTGAACTCTGTCAAAGGAACAAACTGAGCGCTATTTCGAACACTTTTGCGATGGAAATGTGCTTAGTTAATGTCAAGTTAAATAACATCCAAAAAGCAGTCAACTACTCGATCGGAAATGTCAAGTTGTTCGAATCAGTGATGAAAGAAATTGAACAGAGTGAGACTGTAAAACATGAACACGTTTATCTTCTTACAACACTAAAGTTTGTTCTTTTTCAATTGTTAAATTGTGTGGATGGTCATTGATAATATAGAACACTCTTGGTCGAACCAAAATTGGCAAGAAACTTATATTCATTTGTCGAGAGTAATTACAAAGGGATTTTGGGAACTAGAGAATCCCAGGCAAGTGTGCTTTTAACCGTGCTTGTGATGAAGGTCGTCGAACAAATAGATCCGCTTGACAAAATTTGTGAGGCATTCGGAAAGGCCGAGGGGGCGTTCAAAGACGTGTTTGAAACGTGCAAAGAGGATGTTGGAATGCTGAAAGCAAAGTACTTCACACCACAAAAGGAAAGAACACAGTTCAACCCATTCATACAACCTCACTGATACTTTATTATCTTTATCATTTTATTGTATTCAAACTAGTATAATTATAATTATCACAAACACAAAGACACATAATAACACACTAAAAAGAAGGTTGTGACGCAATGGATGTGTTGTCCTGTATAGTCTGGTCGATCTGTGGTTCAGCAGAATGGTACTGTTTGTACTCTTTTATTAGGTCGGCTATGTCACTTCCTGCCTCCAAAAATTCAGACTCCTCCATACCCTCTTCTGTGTATAAGTAAACAAAAGCTTTTCGGGTAAACATCGCAACGAACTGTTTGTAGATGCGATCAAATAGGTCGACCATTCCAGTGGAGTTCGAGATGAGTGTACCAGAAACTTTCAGTTTCTTTGGCGGGACGTCGCACACGGCGAGCTGGACGTTATTTGGGATCCACGGGCAAAACACATCAGTGTTCTTTTCTCTGAGTAAGAAAAGGTTTTCCTCAACGTCGTGAGTGGAGACGTTTCCTCTCATGATACATGACGCAGTCAAATATCTGCCGTTCTGTGGGTTGAAATCAACCATCATATTTTTCCTTTCAAAGAGCTGGGGGATGATTTCGGACACCGAAAGGCTTTGGTATTCCATTTCGAGAGCACTCGCAACAGGAGCAATCGAAGAAGTCAAAAATCTCAACCTCGTGTATGGGATCATGTTGACGTACAGCTTTCTGAGGTCTTGGTTTAGCTGTCCTGGAAACCTCAACGAACAGGTGATCCCAGACATGACAGACGCCACAATGCAGTTTAAGTTTTCATACGACGGCTTTTCTTTGTTTGTGATGTTTTTCGCTATTGTGTTGAGCGCCTCGTTATCAAAACAGAATGATACACCAGCCGATTCCAAGAGGCTGTGCAACGACAACATGCAGTTGTAAGGTTCCACTACTGTTTCACTGATAGTTGGTGAAGGCATCACACTGAATGTCGAAATCACTTTGTCGAAATACTCTTCGCGGAGCTTCGATTGTATCAACGTTCCGAGCCCCGAACCAGTACCTCCTCCAAGTGAATGTGTGATCTGAAATCCTTGTAAACAGTCGCACGCCTCTGCTTCTTTTCTTACAAATTCCATCACTCTTTCGCATAGCTCCAATCCATCAGTGTAGTGTCCCTTTCCCCAGTTGTTACCAGCCCCATTTTTGCCACATACAAAAGAGTCTGGGCGGAATAACCCACCAAGTTTTCCCACTTTCAAAGCATTAATAGTACCTGGTTCAAGATCCACGTTGGTAGTTCTAGGGACGTACCTTTTAGTTGAACTCTCAGTGTAGTAGACTGAGAGTCTTTGTTGTTCAATTGGCGTCCCCGTAAACTCTCCGACTGGTGAGATGTTGTGTTCTTCATTCACAAGGTCCCAAAACTTTTCTCCGACTTGGTTTCCGCACTGTCCAATCTGCAATGAAATTATTTCACGCATTTACCTTTCTCTTTTTTCCCCTCCTCTTATTTTCGTTCGTTCTGTCTTTCAATCACCCTTACTCTAAAACGTTGTTTTGTCATGAAAATGAGATACAATACTTCCATGGTAATAATATTATACTATATAGTACATTGCATCCACAATATTTATACTTGTTATAACTTGTCTATTGTAGTTTTTAATTAATATGCCAAAACCATAAAATATTTATAAATGAAACTATAAAATATAGTACAGTAAAAAAAAACACTTGAAAAATGAATAACTTGGTCTACTTCTTTTCTTCCTTTGGTTTTTCAGGCACGACCGAATATTTGATGATATGAAGTGGAGTTTTAACTGCATAGAACATATATGGATTTGTGTACACGTCATCCTTTTCCACCAAAATGTCTGCCTCGACCCACCTTGTAGCCTCCTCTCTCTTTTCTTCAGTAAATAAAAATCCAATCACATTTCTCATCTTATCAGGAAATTTCACTTCGATTGACGTCAAGTGGAATAACATGGAAAACCCAACTTGGTCGATCAAGTCTACCAAATCGGGATCGTAGCAGTCCCAATACACATGTTTGACTGTCCCGCATTGCCCGAGGATATGACGCGCGACTTCGTAGTCTGTCGTCTCCTTTGCGAAGTCACTGATCATCCGATTGAAGACGCACAACATCTTCTCGATGAAGGAATACATCTCGCATTCGGTGTCTTTCGATATGACGCCGGACCCCGTCTCGACACTGGGCTCCATATACAGTCGCATCATATTCTTCGCGTGGAATTGGAAGAAGTCGGGGTACCACCCGAAGATCTGTTTGAAATCGAAGCGGAAGATTAACTGACTCTCTGGGATGAATGAGCCTGTAGTAATCCCTTTGAAGTTCTTGTCTAATAACACACCACATGTCACTTGTGGAAGACTTCTGTATACAATTGCTGGCGCTTGTGTCATTGTAGTCGTGTCGATATCCTTTGCACAGTACGGTTGATATGGATATTCGGCAACAGTGACGGGTTGGAACGTCCACGTCTTCATCGCGGAGTGCATGATATACTCCGGATGCTTTGCAAGCATCTCAACCAACACGTTAGAGATAGAAGAAGTGATGGGTTTGATTTGGTCTCGTGTTTTGACTACAACGACTGCGTGGATCTTCATATTGAGTGTTGGCGAGACAACGGCTTTGTTGATGGTTTTGATCAAGTCGAGGTAATTCTCAAGTGTCATTTGATAATTGGAAAACACATTTTGATACAAATTCTGCGATATTCTGAACCACGTTGTTTTGTCGACATTGAGTGGATCAAACGGTTCTAAGACACTCATTTGAATGATTTCATTCACATCAATTTCTTCAAATCCCGCCGACGTCGATGTTGCAAAGAGAACTTTAGGAACGTCCTCTTTACAAAAGGCAGTTGGTACAATCGAACATTTCAATTTCAAGTGTAAAGTCGGGTTATAATATGAGAAACAAGTGAATGGGTCGATTCGTGGATATATGATTCGAGCGTTATTAAAAGAGTAAGTGATTTGATCCAATCCTTCAACTTCAAATGCTTTAATACATCGTTGCGATGATATTTTCAGCATCGTATAGAAACTATCCTTCCGCGAATCCGTCTTAATCTCGGACTTCTTTAATTCCTTTGCAAACAAGTCAAAGTTGGAGTGCTTCTTCCCGACTAATACAAAGCTCTTGACTTTTCCATCTTGGACACGTTCAGGAAGAACAACGATTTCACTCATCTTGTCAAACCCTCGTATTTGGTTGAACTTCAATAGTGGTATTTCACATTCGTATGTCTTCGTGTCAAGTTGTTTCATTGCCGCAATAAGAAGTGCGGAGGCCTTATTTGCCTCTTCTGTGATACCAATGAAATTGACGGCGACTTGGTCAACATTTATTTCAACGATGATTTCCTTGAGAAAACACGCTCTTCGGATCGTCGCGAACATCCCCGCACCTTTCTTACACAAGTACCGCATCTTTGCAATTTGGTTTGTGTTGAAGATCGAGTTTCTTAAAGTGATCTTCTTCGCGAAGTACAACATTGCCTTTGTTACTCGATCCGGGTGAGTTATTTCCGTACTAAATACATGCACTGAGTCTGATGTGACACAACACAATGGAAGTCCACAGAACAATGCTTTGAGCTCCAAAGGAATGACTTTGAGTGCTTCCGCAAAGGTCTTAACGAGTTCCTTAGACTCTACAGAGACGTAGAAGTCAGACACGGCATTTGATTTATTCTTTGGGATGACAAAGGGAGTCTTTCCAAATGGTCCGATGAATTGGAATGAATTTTCGAGGTTATAGTATTGGTAGTAACTCAGTGCTTTCATTCGTGGTAAAAAGACGGATGGGGAACTGAATTGTGCGGAGTGGTAATCGATTTGTTTGATGTAATTCGTAATTGCGTAGAGGTATCGGACCTTCTCCAACAAGTCTGTCGTCTTGAAATGAATTTGGATGACATCAGGCTCTATCAAATTAATGGAGCAAAGAAGGTATTGAGTGGCTTCAGGATATGACGACAAATATTCCATTGCAGCCATTGGAACTGGTTCAAAGACAAAGACTGCAAGTGTTGCTAACTGCTTTGCTATTTGTTCGGCGTTGTCATTTGAACAAGTCTGGAAATCACCTATCAGAACATTCGTGGAAAAGTTTGTGGAAAATATCGTGTTGAGTTTGTGAACAACTTCACTGTTCGGAATCAAAATCTGTTCAGTGATCGTCTTCTCAGTCATCTTAAAATGTGGTATTTTTAAGTTCTTTTTAGTTCCTTTTTGAGTTTCTTATTTAAGAATGTTGTGTAAAGTCGATATAAAGTCTGGTTTAAACTATTAGGTTTTAATTAACAATTATAGTACTTTTATTATAATTATACTATTGATAAAGTACTTTGAATGGTCATTAATATGATATATTGGAATAAAGTATATGGAAACAAAACTATAAATAATGACATATGATAATAGATTAAGGGGTATATTTAATAGAATACAAAACAATAATTAAAAGGTTTATTACCATGATTTAAGATCTTTTTTAAATAGTAACATGTCCTATTATATTGAGTACAACAGAGCCAACATTTTTGTGTTTATTTGAATGTTATAAAATTAACTCTTTTTTTTAAAGATGAATCTTTCATATTGTTTAACCAAATCTCTCAATTTAACTTAAAAGATGATGAAAATATCGGCTTGTCGTTGTTGCTATTACCATATTTTTTGGTTGGTTTTAACAACAGTTATTAATATAGTTTTATTATAATAAACTTAATTATAACTTAATTAGAAAACATCCAGATTTAGGTTGAAGATTTGTTTTGTTAATATAATAATATATTTATACTAATATAATGTGTTACAAAAAACTATCGTCCTCTGATTACTTTTAGATTTTTATAATACTTTTTTAAAATTATTAGTTAATACAACAATACGAATAAACATGTGCCGAGTTCTTCCCAAAAAAGCGATGTCAATATCCCAAAAATTTCACAATGAAAACAAAACACAAATTACAACAATCTTTGAATTTTTCCTCCCATTTTCGTTCCACCAAAATAGTTGCTTCTCAGTTTATTACTAGTAAAATATAGTATTAATATAGTAACTCTTCTCTTTCAAATCAATCCCACTAGAATTGAAATAACATATAATGAAGAAGAAGTCAAGTGACATGGAAACTGTCGACTCTAAGCGTCTGCAACTCCCAAAGCTTTCTGTCTTCTGGGACAAGCACCGCGCCTTCTTATCCTCCGCCAACTCAAAGCTTCAAGAGTTAACTGACCTTCTGAAGTCTTACTCATCATTTCTTACTGAAAATATCGACCAAGCCTTTGTGCCCCAAGGAAGTTTGTTTCTCACAATTCACTAAATAACATTTTCTATACTTTTAATAAAAATAATTATAATTAAACTATTTTATAACAAGACTTGGATTGACGAGGAGACAAAGGAGTGGCTGAACCCATTGTGAGTGGACTCCAATTTTTGGTCACAAACTTGGACGCGTTACAGCAGGATATCCTCTCGACTGTTGGGAAGACGGAAGAGATGACATTTGACTTGAAACAATTAAAGAAACTGTTTGAGAAGACGAAGAACCAAGAAACACTGACGACGGCTTTCTATAACTTTACCACGAAAAGCAGTTTTGAGATTCCATTGCTCTATGTCAACTTCTTTAACTCGTTTTATAACTTTGGAACGACCGTCGACGTCTATTTTTCGTGCAATGACAAACTGAATGCCGTCAAAGAGAAGTCGAGGAACGAAAAACAGAATTTTGTTATTACGAGTGTTGCGCCGCAACGAAACGTCTCGTACTGCGGGACGAAACTTAAAGAGATATTGGAGTTGGAGGGGAGACTCCCGACACAACTTCCACAAGTGATTGAAACGATGATCAACTACTTATACACGAAAGGGTGCGGGACTTATGGGATCTTCCGAGACACAACACAAAAGATGAAAATTGAAGTCGACGATATTTATCATCGCATGGGGATCACCGATTTTGAAGATCTTCCGCCAGAAGTTGTAGCGAATGTTTTAAAGAAGTTCTTGAGAGAGATGAAAGAGAAAATATTTCCATATGAAGTGACGAGTTGGATGTTGAAGGAATGGCAGAAGACACGAGGGTCTATTCAATGTCACGATGAGCGATTTAAACTGATTCAAAAAGCAATAGAAAAGCTCTCTGAAGAGAACACGACTGTGTTAAAGAGTCTATTAAAGTTGTGTTGTAAAATTGATTCCTTGTCGGATTCGAATGGGATGAGCTTTAAGAATCTTGCAGTCTGCTTTTCACCAGTGTTGCTGACATTTTATAAAGACGAGAAGAACACAAACAACAAAGAAATAATTAACAACGACGTTGTGTGGGGGATCGAGGTCGTCACGTTCTTACTCTGTGAGTATTCACACTTATTCCCAACAGAGGTCGATGAGAATGTGATGAGACTTTCTATGAAGTTATCTCGGAAGAACGTTGTGACTTTGACTCAATTAATGAAGGACGAAGACGTGGTATTGCGAGCGATAAGTAATAATAATGAAAAGAAGAAATTGGAAACAAAAGAAGTTGTAACGAGTCATGGAAAGTCATTGAGCGAAGGAAATGAAATGAAAATGGAAGCTTATGAAGTCGAGAGAAAAGCAAGAAGTGACGGAAATGAGGAGAAGAGTGACTTGGATGGAATTGACAAAGAAGAGAAAGAAGAATTCCATTCAAATACAGATGGCGTTCTTAAAAGTGATGAAATACTTCAAGAACTTCCTCCTCTCCCTCCTCCAAGAAAAAGAGGGAAAATTCAAAACGATCTTTTGGTCACTCAACCTACGGAAGTGATTTGATAATTAATTGTGTGTGTGTTGTCATCCATTGAAAAGAACTATAATTATTAGAATTATAACTATACTATTATTACAAGACTTTATTTAGTAAAAACAATAGTACTATATAGTTAAACCAAGTGTAAACTTAATTGAATTATTTATTTTAGTATATACATAAACTAGTACTTTTACTAATATATTAATTATATTTTTACTAATTGTTTTGCAAAACAATTAGTACCACTGAAGAACATCATTTAATGACGTTAAACAACAGTTATTTGTATTCAAAACATGTATTAAAATTTCAAGTATTATTAATAGAATATTAATGAAAAATATGAAGAAATAAGAAATAAACTATAAATCAATTATCGTGATGTTTGGTTTATTATCTACTATTTTTTAATAAACCCGTTACTATCCACCAATTTGTCGTATTACTAATGTCTCTCGTGTTTTGTTCTTTAGAACCATTCAAAAAACACTCTCAACTTTGAAATCCAAAAATGGAAATCATTCTTGAATGCGGCTCGAATTTTCCAAAGGCGGACATAGTGCAGTGGTGTGACCCATACCTCATAGTCAAGTATACTGAAGGTGGAGTTGCGAAGTCCTTTAAGACTACAATTCAAAAAAACACCGCGACACCGGTGTGGAATAATCACTTTGAGTGTTTAACGCCGAGTGGCCAAATCACATTTGAATGTTGGGATTGGGACAAAATGAACTCCGATGATTTTTTGGGGAAGGTAGTGATTGATGTCCCCGAGTTAACGAAATTGGAAGAAACTATTATCTATCGCGTCGACTTAGAAAAGGAATATGAAAAGAAGCGTAAAAACAATGACTTAGACACTACTATAACAATCAAATATCGAAATCTGCATTATGTAGAGACTACCCCACAAGTCATACAGACGATGATGACATCGGAGAGTTCAATGAGTTCATCACTGAGAGGATCAAGTCGGTCAATTGCATCGAAAAAGTCCGACCAACAAATTCAATTAGAAATAGAAGAAGGGAAGAAGAGAGAATACTTGAAAGGGTATTTGCCGATATTACAAGGGTTCACCAAAAAGGCCAATTTCAGACTGTTGTTCTCGTCTGATTTGTTCCCCGTCAAAGCCGATGTCATTGCTCAGAAAATTATGATGAAGAGGAATGTGATGACTTTGATAATAACACAGAGTGGGTGTTCCTTTGGATTTTATAATGATGAGCCGATCACAAAAGATGAAAATGGCAATGGGCAAGTCATTAATGACAAAAATGGGTTTGTCTTCAGTGTCGTTGGGCCGAAACAACAGCCTTTAAAGTTGAACACAATAAACCCTAAAGATGCCACTTTCTGCTTATTCAATGGGATCGAACACACGTCGGGAATAGTCCTTGGCGTTAATAATGCATTCTATTTGAAAGAAGACATGACAGTCTATGAGTTAAATACTATCCAAAAGTCTTTCGATGCGACAGTCAAAGGAAATGTCTTACTCTCTGAATACTTCCCTTCTACTTTTCCTATTGCAAAAGTGTTCATGTTGCAATGGATGTGAACACAAGTCGACGTCTTAATAATTTCACTTTTCAATTGTTCTTGGGTCACATCGTTTAACACTTTTTTTGATCATTCGAGTACACTGTTTATATATAAATTATACCGGTATCTAATTCATCTTGTGATCTATTTAATTATTTTTTTGTGTTCTATTTTAAGAATAGAGTCCGATATAATAACATCAAAAATAATATTAAAAGTCTTCTGTTTTTTTATTATTTCAACTTGAGAGGACGAAAAAGACAAATTGTATAACAACTAGTAAAAACAATTAAAAATAATAAGTTCGAAGAAATGCTTGAAACTTGAAATGACTGCAATCGAGAGAATTACAATAACTTGACATAACTTTCATAGAATACCCGAATTTGTGACTATTATATTGAAATAAGAAATAGTAGTAAAATAGAAGACGAAATAGATTGAATAACAAAAAAACGGAACGACCAAAATCCAAATAGAAATGTTTGCCGGTAGAAAGCCAAACAGCGCTTTGAAAAGCAAAGAAATAAAACAAGAAAGACGAGATTGACTTTGCCGTTTAGTGTAATTGAAAACCACAAAAGAATTAAAAGAATAGTACAATAGAGTCAAGAAGAGTATTGTAAAAAGTGAGGTAAAAAGTATTAGAATTAAAGGAAGAGGAGGCGTCAAAGCGGAAATAGTATGGTCTTAAAAAAGATATCAATTATATATATAAGACCGCGAAGAAAAATGGAAAGGCGAGAAACTCGAAAATCAAGTAGCGAGATGTTCAAGTCCCTCCTCAAAAAGAAAAAGGAGCCGGAGTTAGTAATCAGTGAACCAGTTGGGTTCTCACATCCGTATCATGCCGTGTACCAATCTGGAGAACTCACTGGGTTTCCTCCTGAGTGGAATGCACAATTAAAAGCTTCTGGGATAACTAAAGAAGAGATTAAAGAGAACCCTGAAGCAGTCCATGACGTCATTGACTTCCAAATGAAAACGACTGCAGAGACGGATATCAAAGAGGATGATTCCATGTGCTTTCAAATCCAACCGTTACCGGAAGAGAAAGAAGTCGACTTAAAGAAATTCATTAATAAGAGTGACCCAGACGAGTTGTATGAAGGACTCGAGAAAGTGGGCGAAGGCGGGGTCGGCGATGTGTTTAAAGCTACGCGAAAGTCAGACGGGTACCCCGTCGCGTTGAAACGGATGCGAATCACTAAGAAGAGTAAACGAGCTATATTGACCGAGGTGAGTACACTCAGTCAATATAAACACGACAACGTCGTCACATACATCGAGTGTTATTTAATTAATGAAATGCTGTGGTTAGTGATGGAATATATGGACGGCGGGTGTTTGACAGATATTATCGATCATCACGACGAAATGCCAATTTCCCTCAAATTGATCGCTTTCGTCTGTGATGAGACTTTAAAAGCTTTGACCTTCTTACACTCAAATCATTGTGTCCATCGTGACATCAAATCTGACAATATATTGTTAAAGAAAGATGGTTCAGTAAAGTTGTCTGATTTTGGCTATGCGGCGCAGCTGACAAAACAAAAGAGTTGTCGTACATCAATAGTTGGAACTCCTTATTGGATGCCTCCTGAAGTTTGTTATTTAAAATGTTATTACGATTAAATAATAACAATAATTAATAAATGTGGTACTATAGAAATAGTAATAAATAGCTCATTCGGAGCCAAAAATATGACGAGAAAGTCGATGTGTGGTCGCTTGGGATTATGTGTATGGAAATGTCGGATGGGATGCCCCCTTATATGGATTTTCCACCGATGCGTGCGTTGTTCTTAATTACAACTAAAGGAATTCCACCGATGAAAAACAGAGACAAACTTGAGCCGTCATTTGTCACGTTTGTCGAGGAGTGTCTTGTCATCAACCCACAACAGCGCAAAACGTCGTTTGAGATGATTAAAAGTCCATTTCTTGAGATCAAAGGAAGTAAAGCCGAAATGGCGGAACTTATCAAGGCCATTGCTGCCCTTCCTTCACCTGCTGATGACATGTTGGATGATTAATTTTACTTTGTTGCATTCTTTATGTGTTCTTTATTATAACTAATACATATAGTTATTACAACTAGAATTCATAATTAATTTTCAAAACTAATAAATCATAGAGATATGGACTTTGAGGAAAGGTTACAAGAAGTGCGGGAGAGAATGCAAGAACACAAAGTGACACATTACTTCTCTGCATACTCCGACCCACACATTTCAGAGTTTCCAAATTCCTCTTTTCTTCATTTGGAGTGGTTGTGTAACTTTAAAGGGTTATATGGGTATGTATTAATAACACATACGAACGCATATTTATGGACTGATGAGATATACTATGATAGTGCAGTCAAACAAGTCCCAACTCCATTATGGAAAGTATATAGTGAAAATGACACAGATGGTCCGATGGACATTCTAATGAAATCGAAAAGGAAAGTAGTCTTAGCGCTGAATTACAGCACTACACCAGCTTATTTATTGGGGGAATGTCTCGACGAAAAAAATGTGAGAACAATCGACTTAGACGTCTTAGATGAATTAAATAAGAAACAGCTGGTCTTCTCACCACTCTCATTCTTTAGAACAAAGTACAGTGTGACAGAAAGACTCGACATCTTCAAAAAGTCACGAAAGAACAACGTCATTGTGTTGACTTCACTTGTTGATGTGGCGTGGGTGTTTAATATCAGAGGAGATGACATTTTATACTCTCCACTTGCTTTGGCCTTTGCAATATTAACACCAAAGCGTATCATGTTCTTCTGTGGTACTACTGAAACCCTCAAATATCAACAATTCCCAGACGAATTTAAAACGCTGAATATTGAGATCTTCCCATACGCCAATTTTTATGGTGTGTTGAACAAAGAATTGCACAACGTGAATCTCACAGTTAGAATAAGAGAGAAATTTACTTCTTTCAAAATACTCGAAATGGCTAGAAAGGCAAATGCTGAAGTCAAATTCACGATTCGAGACATCGATAATTGGATGGGGGTGTGTCCGAATGGTGATGTTGAACAGTTGAAGAAAGCGCATATCGAAGACTCGTTGATTTTATGTCAGTTTTTTGCACAAATAGAACAGCACTATAATACACAAAAAGAGGAGAAATGCACTGATTTCCAGTTGTGCGAATTATTGGAGACATTACGAAAGAGCAATCCAGACTACGTCTACCCAAGTTTTGCTTCAATCATTGCTAACGGCCCAAATGCTGCCAATTTACATTACCAACCAAATGAACACGCATGTTCCGAAATTGATTTCAATCGCCCTATTCTTTTTGATGTCGGCGCACAATACAAATCGGGAGCGACAACGGACGTCACACGAGTGTTATGTGTTGGAGATGTTACAGAGGAAGACAAAAAAGTGTATACGGCTGTACTTAAAGGACACATCGCTCTTCAAAAAGAACAATTCTCAGAACACACACGATTCGAAAACATCGACAAAGTCTGCAGAGATGCTATTAAAAGGGTTGACACTACCTTTGAGTATGAACACGCTACTGGACACGGTGTCGGTTGCTTCTCGTCAGTCCACCACGACCCAGACACGTTTGCAGGGAGAGCGGCTTTGGACGTCGGGAGAATGACTTCTGTGGAGCCGGGATTGTACTTCAAAGGCAATTTTGGTGTGCGTATTGAGAACGTTTGCATTGTCGAATACACCACAGCCTCACAAAACGACAAAGAACTCAAACATACTGAAGAGAGAAGCTTAGTCCATCTAGTCCCACTTACTTATGTGCCTTATTGCTTGAAAGCAATTCAAAAGGACTTGTTGGACAGTACAGAAATCAATTATTTGGACCAATACTCACAAAGAATCAGAGAGTTAGTCCTTCCTCTAACACAAGACCCAATTACAAAGAAATGGATTGAAGAAAATACTATACCATTATAAGTTACTAAAAGAAGTATATTATATTTATTTTTGATATAAATTTATATATAATTTAAATACATATAAATCATAAAAAATATTATTGGAGTATTTCGAAAAATATTGTAACATAAAAGAACACAGAGTTACTTCATATTTTGAACTCTGTTCTTGAACTCATCGACAAGTAATTCAACCGAGCTATATGTTGTTTTCCCCAAATGGAATCCGTTGTCATCCAACCGAACAAATAAGCTCGAAACCGTCTTCGACCCCGGGATTGATGCGATTCGAATTTTACCAAACTCCGTTTTCGAAACACTCAATGAATAGTGGAAGGCGTTTGGCAGCTCGGCTTTTTGTTTGGATAAGTCAACGTCGACCTTTGAGTCGTTGGCGTGATATCTCCTGTGTTTTCTCAGCTCTTCCAATAATCCATTGACCTTATTTATGTAATGCTCGAGGTGAGATAGCCCATCAAACGGTCGTTTGTACATCATGATCTTCATGTCTCCGCGGTCATCTTTCCGTTCATAACATGGGATATTCATCAAAACCTCTGTGGTCCACTTCCATACCAACATCAATTTGCCTTGGAAGAGTCCATCCTCTGCTATGGGAATGACCATCCATCCACCGACTTTCCCCTTCTTTACCTCGGTGACTGCTTTTGAGTGTGACATGATTTGGAAATTTCTGTAGGAACTCACCCAATTGTTGTAGTCGATGTTCCTTCCTTCTTCGCTAGAACGGTAATTAATTTCCTCGTTGGTCACTTCCAAATACTTTTCGTAACTTTTCAGCTTTTCGTACTCTTCACGGAGGTACGAAAAATCTCTCACATCGGGTTGGTTGCACTTCACGTTGATTACACACTTTGAATAATCCACCGTTGTGATTTTACCAGTAACCAATTTTCCAAACTCGTCGCCATTGAGACAGTTTCCGTCTTCAACCATCACCTCCAAGTCATCACTGATGAAACCACGTTTCTTGTCTCTTGGACCCGGCCGAAGAACAAATTCGATCAATTGACACGCCTTAAAGTCGTCAACTGAAGTGTTTGTGACACACTCAAACATCTCTCTGTCGGTCAGCGTCGACTCCGCGAATGATGGTTGGTTGTACATAAACGGATCCACAAGTTCATCGACAATGTCCCTCAAACACACGTCCATCTTTTTGTCGCCTTCTTTGATCAATTCAGCATAACCGTCAAAGTCAAGTGAATCGTACTTCTCTCGAGTCATCGACATTGCTTTCTTACAAAACTCAGCCTTCTCCAAATCGCCTTCGTAAGCATCATTCACAATATTCTCTGCAAGTTGGTAATTCATCGGGTGTACTCTCGTCTGATCCAAGAAAAGATTCTTAACTGAGTCCTTCGGCGAAATCGTTATGAAACCAACAAAGTTGTTAACAACGTTCTCCATGTTATCATCTTTGTACATTTCAATGAGGAACTTTCTCGAGTTGATGTGGAACTGATATCCTTGCATCTTTCGGATAAAGGTGTTGGCCTTGATTTCGCCAAGACCGTTCACATACGACAGCACGTCCTCAATGTGGCCATGGTCAATACATTTGTTAATATCAACACCTCTTAAATTCACAACCTCAATGAGCGTTTCTTGTAACTTGTGAACCAATGTCGACCTCTCTCCTTCGTTGAGCGCGTATTGCAATGGGTGGATTTTGACATTCAACATTTTCTCTCGTTTCCCACAAATGTGAACAAATTCGGCCATTGGGTTAATCAATTGCCTGCACACACTTGAACCCGCATATTCAAGCTGCGACTTCTCGCCCACGGTCTCCGTCTTATAAATGATGCCCAAATCCTTGTTTACATTGACATTCTCAATCTTGTTCATCTTGTGAAGGTTCGTTAACATGAAAATTGACTTTGGTGTTTTGGCCTCGACACCGATGAGTAGTGTTTCTTCACCGAAGAAATTCTTAATCTCTTCTTCGTATTTGTCAAATTGCTGCACAAACCTTTCGAAGTACATCGATTCAGTAAACTCTCCAGAGTCTGCGTTGCATTTCACAAACATCATGCTTTCCTTTCCAAAAACAATTCCCCCAACAAAATAGTTCACAAGCGGACTTGTTTCGTCTATTTGTCTCTTCTTGTTTCCCAAAGCAAAATGTGGTGCTCCATTGATTCTTCGTTTAAGATTAATTTGTGCTTCTCTCACAACGCACTTCACAGCGTTCTTTCTTAACGTCTCTTTGAGGTGTTCAATGACATACGGCGTGATGTAATATTTGAATGCAAACTCGACAGTCTCTTTTTTCATTGATCTCCACTCGTCTATATCATCGCTTCCAATCAACTTTGTGCAAGCATCTTCGATAATACCAGTTGGCATATTTAGCTCAACGGTAATAAGTCCCTCCTTTTCTGCTTGGAAGATTTTGAGTATATCATCCCTCTCTCTCAAGAGAGAAACTGGCTTTCCTACAAGTCTTTTGTATATGGCGTACTTGTTAAAGACGTCAATGACTTCCTTTCCCTTTTCAGTGGGTTTTGTTGAAATTGTGGAATCCCTCAGAGCAAGTTCGTAAAACAACTTTCGGGTTTCTTTGAAATGGGAAAATTCTGTTGCAAATCTCATTCGAGCGGTGTTCATGACGTTCTGTGTTTTTGGCATTTCGCTTGTTATAAGTCTTCTCGAAATATCTTCAGGTTTTTCATAACATTTGTTTGGGACATATTGTTTGTAATTGTTCACCAAATTGTCAACAAAACACTTCGGTGTAATTCCATATCCTTTCATCAGCTCTTCCACATTCTTGGAACACACTTCTGGATATGTCCGTTTTCCCCTTGACGCATCTTTCAGCGGGTCGAAAAAATTTGGACTGTATTTCAAACTTACCTCGTCACTCAGCAATTGGAAATCAATTTCATCTTGTAACGTGTCGAGGGTGATTAAGTAACCCGCTCTCTCCTCTGTGCCCATGGTGCTACACTCATCAATTATTTTCCTTACCTTTTCCTTCTTTTCGCAAATTTCATAATACTCTGTGTCCAAGTCCCATATTTGCCAAAGTAATTGAATCACTTTCGCATGTTCGATCGATCTCCAGTTTTCAGATATAAACGGGTAGTAAACGTCTTTGTCATATGTTGCGATAAACATCAAATCATGTCTTTCTTTGTACATCAACTCAAACACCTTTTTAACGAGATTGTCCAGGTCAATCACATTCATTAATATCTCAAGTTGAAGTCTCTGACACACCCAATAACTCTCATCGAGCATTTTATTTTGCCAGACGTCTTCGCCCATTGTTGGTTGCTCTTTCCCTTCTTGGTCGAACCAGTTCAAAACACTTTTCTTTCTAAAGAGTTGTTCTGGCACGTCAACCGACTCGACAATTTTGTCTTGTCTTTCTCTTTCATTCCTTTTCAAATCCATTGGCTCCAAACATTTTGAGTAGTCTTCTTCCATCTGTTGGTCGATTTCTTCTTCAGGGACTTGGACCTCTTCGATCATTTTATTCTCCGGGTTCTCCATCTCTTCATCCTCACTTTCGTTATGAATGATCCTTCTCTTTTTCTTCTTTTGTTCCTTCTCAGCTCTCTTCTTTTCTCTTTCCTCTTTACGCTTCTGCTTTTCCTCAAGACGGCGTTGTTTCTCTTCAGGAGTCTCCTCAGCCTCCTCTTCCTCACCGACTTCCTCTTCGTCATCGTCTGCTATAAATCCATCATCAGCTATATAGCCCTCTTTCGTCAAGGCGTGATCTTCTTCGTCCTCGTCGACTTCCAACTCACTTTCGTCGCTCCTTTTCTCTTCACTTTTGTCCAACTATTCCGTCAATTCAATCACGTTCAGATTGACAATTCGAGTGATTTGGAGAAAATTATGAAAAACTATTTATTTATAGTTTTATTTACTATATTTTATAACTAAAAAATCGCGACATTTTAAAAAACCAAAAAGTGTTTTAACGAAAAAACAAACGCTCCTCTTCATGACAACACGAGTATTCTGATATGAAAGTTCTTCATTTTGAGATGTTTACTCGCGTTGTCATGAAGAGGTGTTTGCTCTTGTCAGCTTTTTTATCATTTTCTTCAGTTCAAAACAACCCTAAAAAGATTTTCTCTTTCCTTGAAATGTTATTTGGAATGTTATTTCCTTTTTAATAGTTGAATTATAAATAATTTTTTAAAATAACAAACTAAATATTTTTAATATTTTAATAAAACTTTAACTATATTATATTATTGGTTAATTTTAAAACTATTTTAAAATATCTTTGATGTTTTATGATTTTAATAATATTTTTAAATTATCGATTTTAATAAAATAGTCAATTATTTTTATTATTAAAAAAAGAAACATTAAAGATAGTTAATCAAATTATCTAGAATCTAAACTATTTTTACAATTATTCGTTTTGAACGTTTAATCTCAAATTCGCATTTTACCCAAATGACAATCCACATATAATAATAATAAAAACTATATATTAGTAATTCAGACAATCCAACTAGAACGAATGAACAGAAATGCAACATTTTCAAAAGAATTTTTCTCGACAAACAAGAAAAAGAAGACAAAAAATTAAAAAGTAACAACTCAAAACCCCACAAATGTTTATTGTTCTGTTGATTTCTCTTGCTGTTTCGAGTACCATTTCTGACATCATCGGGCCTGGTTGTGTGAAGTATCTCAATGAAACAGTATGTCTATCCTGTGGCTCGAACTATGATACCAACGATTTAACGTGTAATACTTGTGAAACGCTCAATCCGTTTCTTCCTATTTCTTCCGACAACAAATTTTACTCGAAAAATGCGACAGACTTTTGTGTTGATAATTCTCAAGTACACGTCTCTGAAAATTACTCGATCATTCCGGGGTTTGTTGCAAACACCACTTTCATTTATGGCACTCCCGTCGTCTTTACTGCCGCATTCGAACAACTCTATCACCGACCCTGTAAACAGAAAATGGTCTATCGGAGTCCATACACTTATGGCATATACTTTGATGTTCCAATTCATTCACCAACCGACGACAAAGAGTATTCGTTCCAAACAAAACTGAATTGGACGGTTGGAGAGTACCATTGCACTGTTATAGAGTTATCGGACTCGGACCCCACAGTCGCGACGGATGAATGTGTAGCCACTGCAGAGACCATCGACTCGATTATGAACTGTAATTGGATCGGCAAGAAAACTAAACATTACCGACTCTTCTTAGCCACAGAGAAGAAGTTTGAAGCAACCAAATTTGGTGTTGGAGTGTTAATTATAACAGAACCGGTCTTCGACCCACTCATATTCTTCTATGCTCGGAACATCGAGTTACTTAATCAGACCAAAGGCGATTTGTACTTGGGCGTCCCGATGAAAAACGGCGGCAATTACGAACATCCGGTCTGCTTACCACAGAAAGTGATGAAAACCGTCTCGTTCAAATCGCAACTGATTGAAGGGGTTAGTCTCCTTGCCAAGTCCATTGGGAGTAAACTGCGGTATGTCCAGTCATATGATGAAGTGACTGAAGAAGTGAATGGCGAAGTTGTGAAAAGGCGTCGATGTTTACAATTATTTGGAGGGATGAATGAAGGTGCTCTTGAGAAGCAAGGCATAGACCAAGGGATCTCGTTTTTGATTCAATACAACAAGTCGAAAGAAGCGGATGGGAAATACAACGGTATGAATTATCAAGAAATCACTTTTTCATATTTAACGGATGACGAAGAAGAAGACGACGTTGTTAAAGTGACTGTTGTGTGTCCCAATGATTGTAACAGTGACATTGGAGCTGGTGTCTGTAGTCATCGACTTGGTGGGTGTTTGTGTAAAGACAATAAATATGGAAGAGCGTGTATGGACATTTGTTATAATACCACTACACGCGAGTTCAACGCGAAATATGGCGATCAAAAACTGTTATGCAGATATGGCGAATCGCATTGTGACATTGATTGTGAGTGTGACGATGGATATCAGGTGGTCAATAACTCATGTGTCAAATTGACTTGTTTGAATAACATTGACACTGACAAATCATTAGAGTGTTTAAAAGGAAGTGCGCACTGTGAAACGAATTGTGAGTGTGCAGAAGGATACAAATACCGCACTTTTGGTGTTCCAAATAAAGGATGTATTTTAAAGACTTGTGGGAATGGTTTAGTTGAAGGTGATGAAATCTGTGATGGGGGTGTGAATTGTTTAGATAATTGTTCTTGTTCATCGTATGAAATGAAGAGTAATGGGTTGAATGGATGCAAGAGCACGAATGAAGTGCCTACATGGGCTATTATCGTTATAGTGTTAGGTGTCATTTTTATCTTTGTTGTTATCATCGTCGTTGCCATCATTTTAGTGATGAAATTGATTAAAGCAAAGCACATCGACTTATCGATATTCAGACAACAACAACCATTCTATTACTTTGACATCACACAATCAACGAGCTTGAAAACAATCGACTCAACGTCCGCCCTTGTCGACCCAAATCCAGTTAACAACAAGATGAAAATAGTTGTCAGCCATTCCAAACTGAATTTCGGGACGGAAGACTCTTTGGTTGATATCAATGAAACGCGATTTGAGAAGTTTATGATCTCAAACAATTCATCGTGTTACATGTTAGTGGTATTCCATGCGCCTGATATACCCAAGTACGTCTTTCACTTCGATCCACAAGTCTATGTCATCCATCCCCATCGTTTAAAAATTTTTGTGATATACATGACGGTGTTCTGTACAACAAAGATGTTGGGATTAAAGATACACTTCAGTGTGTATCTTTCCAAAAAGCGTGAGGTGTTGAAGAGCATTTCAGACTTGTTATTTGACAAGACGTTCAACGAATGGGATGAGCAGTGTAAGATGGAGATGGACACATTGATGCGTGACGTTCGAAATAAGTACCACGGTTCTTTAATTATAGACACCGACGCTATTAATTCAATCAATTTGGACTTGGACGAGATCGATTTGATTGAACGTCCCATTGGTGAAGGTGCGATGGGTAAAGTGTATTTGGGTCGATACCGTGGGACATATGTAGCAGTCAAACAGTTCCATTGGGAGAGTTTAACTAATGAGGAGACTGAAGAATTGAAACAAGATGTTGTTCGAGAATGCAATTTACTGAGTAAATTGCGTAATCCCTTCATTGTGAATTATGTCGGGTCGATCACATACATTCCACAAGTCTCCATGGTCACCGTTTTCTTCGAACTTGGGTCTTTAGAAAATTACATCCGAAAAGGAAATGATTACAACGTCGTCCTTTCCTTCTCTCTGAAGAACAAGATTTTATATGACATCGCAAGAGGAATGAATTTCCTTCACAACAATTCGATTTTGCATTTGGATTTAAAGCCAGACAATTTGTTAGTCAATTCTTTATATGCCGACTCCGCCTGTTGCGTGAAGATCACCGACTTCGGTACTTCCAGATTTGTTCAGAAATTGAATAGAGACAAAGGGTTGGGTACGCCCACTTATATTGCTCCAGAATCGTTCGAAGACATCTATGACTGTCCAAATGATGTATATTCCTTCGCAATGACAGCTTGGGAGCTTTTCTATGCTACAGAGCCTTATGCCGATTTCAAATCCCTCTTTGAGATACAGAACTTCGTGAAGGATGGCAAGCGATTACCTTTAGACAATACAATCCCTGTCGAATGGAAGAATTTGATAGTGAAGTGTTGGGCTCAAGTCCCCCATGACAGACCAAATTTCTCATCGATAGTTACTGAAGTCTCGACTTTCGAACACTTGAAATACCCCGAACTCGACGCGGGTATTAACTCTGATATTATCGACGACTTGATTCAGAAGAAGAAGGAACATCTCCAAGAAATGTTTGATTAATTTATTTCGCTTCACATTTATTTAACTCACATAATTAATAATTTATTATAATTATTATTTTTATCTAATACAATATAATATATAATAGTATTTTAAAACTTCGAACAAGAATCTCTATATAAATAATACAGTTCAATAACAAAGCTCAACATAAGAATTGATTAACTCCATCGAGTGCCTTGCCAACCTCTAAAACAACATCTGGGTCTTTATCCGTCTTGCACGCCACAAGTGCAGGTTTAATTCTTGTTTGTATAACATTTGGAGTGACAAGTGGTAAGCAGACAACAAACGTCTTAATTGCATTAAATCTGACATTCGGGACTTTGTCTGAGAGCAGTTTCAAAGTGATTGGAATGACAATAGTAGTGATTGTCTCCACAGACAGTGATGGTATGATTTGTGATATGCAGTTCAGACAAATGGTACGATGTAAATAGAGTGGGGAATTCGCCAATGAAATGACTGATGGAAGGATCTTACTCTTAACCCACTCTATCCCAAATGAAGTTAAAAGCTTCTTAATATTTTCAATAGCCTTGATTCGAATAGCATACACCTTATCTGTCAGCACTGAGACACTGACTTTGATCAACTCAAAATGACATTCTTGCAACTGAAGTAACAAGTCTGGTATTAATTCGATCGTTTGTAATCTGCATCTCCAGTTTTGGTCATTAACCAACCTCATCACAGTCTGAAGGACTTTTTGTGATAACTGGGACAACACCATCACATGATTCAAATAGTCGAGTGTTGTGATAATTTTGAGTTGTACTTCCGTCTTCTCATCCTGCAAACACATGTCAATCGTCTTAAACAAGTACTTTTGACAGTTCGCTTTACCAATCTGTGGCGCCAATTGTGTGATAGCTTCGGCAAGTGACGATCTAACATCAACAACAGGGTCTTCTGCCAATTTATTAGCCAGGGGTAATATTTTATTAATAATAATTTCAGGCGGGATCTTCTTCGTGATATCCGCAATATGACTTGCGGCCATAGCTCTCACTTGGTCGTCTTCGTCGTTCAACAATGCAAAAGTGATCTCTTGAATATCATCACTTAACGCGTCACCCGGGAACGCGTCACAGCATTTCCCGATATTCACCGCGCACACGTATCGCACATGCCAACAGACGTCCTTTGCAAGTGTCATGAAATACGACTTGTTTTCTTCCTTTCTGCAAAGAAGTGGTAAGCATCTTGCAAACCCTACTCTAACAGAGTCGATGGGGTCTTTAAAAAGAACGTCGATGATTTCTTTGGGGAAGTTATGAAGCTTTTCCACACAGACGGACATCGCCTTTCTGATGGGTGGAAATTTCTCTGTCGAGAGTGTCTTTAATATACTAAATGACTCTTTCGACTCAGGAACAAGTGCGATCAATTTGACTGCCGATATCTTTCCGTATATGGACACATTACACAAGTCTTTGATAAATGGCATATAGTCATATGTGGGGTACATCATCACCATCTCTCCAAAGGAAGTCGTTGCCTTCTCTCTGATGTTCAGTTCCGATGCTCCCAACAATACGTTATAAAACGGGAAGAGGGCCTGGATTTCATTTTGTCCCAAGATCTGTGCGAATTGAGTTAACTGGTCTGACGCGAAGAGATCAAGTTCCTCCTCTTCGTACAGTGAATGTTCCAAATTGACTAATACCATTTTCACAGTCGATATATCCAACTCGGGCAACAGTACCGGGAGGTATGTGAGTGACTCCATTCTCTTCTCTATATCTTCACTTCGAAGGTTGTCGAGAAATGTTTCCAGTGTGATTTCCTGCATGGATCTCCCTATAACTTTTTCAAGTTCATTGTAACTTTGGTATAATTCTTTTTACTATAGTGTGGCTTTGAATTTCTTTTTTAATAATTCCCACTATTTCTTGTGTTTGTCTTCCTTTTTTTCCTGTCTCTTATATACTATTTATTCCACCAAAATTCATACGAGAACCAATTTATAATAAAATGAATTAAACAACAAAGTATCTTTTGAATTATTAATGATAGTTAAAATATAGCAATTTAACTAATTATTTTACTAATTAATGAATTAAAAAGAATAATAATTGTTAACTAAAAATGTTATTAGTCAAGCGCCAACTTTGCAAGCTTTTTCTGAGTCATCTTGAGTTTTCTGTATTGCAAGTGGGACTCGTTGATCACGTCCATAGTCTCCCTTTGTCCAAAAGCCTTTCCGCCATACGCGTACTTATTCAGTTTCTTCCCTTCAGCAACCTTATATACTCTATACCACTCTCTGACCTCATCAACGATCTTCTCGACGTCTTTAGCGGAGTTGATGATCATGGCGTTCGGGTCTTTGACGTTAATACCAATGACCTTCCAATCGGTCTCTCCGCCATCCAATAAAGCCAAAGCACAGATTGGTTTGATTTGAGTGACTTCTCCACGCGCTGCTTTGATAGAAGAGATGTCGATGATATCTACAGGATCGTTGTCACCCGGAATACCAACGATCGAGTCTTTCTCAAACAAATCTTCCCAAGTCTGTGGAATGGCACCGTAGTGGTTTAAGACATTCCCGTGCTTCAAAAATCGAAGAGAACCATCTTTGTTCAAGTCTTGTTTGATGGGATTGAATCGTGTCGTGGTATTGATCTCCATCTTGGCATTAGTACCTCTTGGGATCTCACAAACCATATTCACCGTGTTCTTATCAACAAAAGCGGGAAGCTTATGCCAGGGGGAAATCTTCTTTCCGTCTTGTTCAAAGTAAATTCTAAATGACTTTGCATTCTCAGCTCCCTCCTTATGTGTGCGGATTGTTCCAAAATTCGGTACTAATGAGACAATCGACATATTTGACAATTTGAAGTATCAAAGTTCATTCAGTTCCTTTTCGCATTTCAATCTCACTTCGAAAAAGTAATCATCTCTTGAGCAGAAAATTTTCATATATTATTTACTATATTTTATAGTTTTATTATTGTTATTTGTTAGTTAAAAAAATAAGTATACTGGTCCACTTTTTGGAAATGATAAGGTTCAAAAAAGTGTACCTTTTTCGAAAAAAAATAAAACGATTTTTTGTTTAGAACATTAAATAGTTTTATTAATATAATTAATTTATATTATATTTTTAATAAAAATATGGTATTTTAATTATAATAAATATGGTAAAAATTCAATTGAAATATTTTAATTAATAATTAAAATTTCAAAAAACTAGAGTCAGTGAAAAAAGTTATTGATGGATAAGATGAACCATATTATTTGTAAGAAGAGCCATATTTTTATTTGTTTTTTTAATAAAAAAATTAATTATTTAATTATTTAATTATTTAATTATTTAATTATTTAATTATTTAATTATTTAATTATTTAATGAACAAAAAAAGAGTAGAATGAATATTTAAGACTATTTAGATAGACATTATAGTGTGTGTTTTTAAATATCAAATCATTTTCAAGGTTTCTTTGAATTAATTAAATTCACAAGGGTGATATACGTGACGTACTTGAATTGTTTTTAAATGAAAAACGCGTTAAAGTGAACATTGTTTGTGTTTTCTAAATGGACTTTATAAATATTTGATAGTAAATAAAATTTATATTTCATTTAATATGGAAATATGGTTTATCAAAGTTTTAATTTACAATTCCATTTAATTGTTTTTTTTATTATAAAATATGGTTCACCAAAACCATTTAGTTAGCTATGGTGTTAAATTTAATTTATACTTTACATTAAATATTAGAGAAAATAAAAAAATAACAACCCAAACATAGTATTTACTTCAAAAAAATAATTTATTTAAATAATTAAAACTATTAAAAAAGTTATGCTAACTTAACTCAATCAAAAAAAAAATTTCCCATATATAACTTCTTAAATTTTATAGTAAAAATCTAATAATATTGTAAATGTTATTTTTAACATTTTTTCTTGTGTTCTGCAAAATAGTACTTATGGTAATATTTTTTAAACCAATAATACGCAACTTGTAAATATCCAAAACACCAAAATTATAATGAGATTAGACTTGACCGACAATCAAAATCTAAAAACAGCCTCAAAAAAATCCCACTAAATTTAGCATTTAAAAACAAAGTTAATATTTTATTATAAAAAATACTATAATTGCGACACAATTTTAATTAACATTAGTTAATTCAAAAAAACCACTTGAGAAGAATGAACTTGAAATAAGGAGTAGTGAGATCGTGAGTACAAAAAGAAATGAGAGAGAACTGAGAAGTAGATTTGTATGTCAGAAAAGAAGAATAGCATGTCACTATCTCGAGTGGATATTACCGCTGGTAATAAGACTCAGTTTGACCGAGCTTCCGAAGATTATGAGGGGACTCTTTTAATGATTCTTCGTTCAAAAATCCTCTTAAAGAAGATTATTGAACAAAAGATGTATCAAGAACGTATCAAACGGGGTAATCTTTCCGCCAAAGAAATCTCGGACTTGTTAAAGAATCAAAGTGAAGAAGATGACGAAGATTTCATTTTGAAGATCACTGAGTTACGTCGTTCTTTGATGAGTGAGATTATGAAGAATTCCGACTTAGAGCGAGAGATCAATGAAGTTGAAATGCGAATTACTTTGTTAGTTCAAAATGCCGGTGCGGTGATGACCAAAGAGAAGAAGAAAAAGAAGAAAGGCCTTGATGAAGATACCACATCGACCATTGTCTTGACTCAAGAGAAGAAGGAGTTATATGGAAATTTGTTCCACTTGTTACAAACCGAACCGGTGTACTTAGCTCGACTTATCAACTCTTTAGTCCAGTCTGAATCTGATATTAAAGAAATGTTGAATTGTATTATTCTGAACCTTTTCATGGAAGGGAAGACAACACGAGAAGACTATTTGATCTTGAAAGTCATGAGAACGGCTATGGAGCAACAATTGAGTTTGATGGTTCCTCTCTTCACGCAAATTCAGAACCAGGGAGTCGTCCCACAGATGATGATTGCTTATGCGAGAAGAAAAGAAGGTGTCGAGTTCTTACAGACAACTTTTGCGCCATGCATGCAGAAGTTCAATAAGGAGTTCCCAGCGTATAGAAAGCTTGAATTGAATGGGAAGAAGATTCTTGATGATTATATTAATGAAAAGGAACAGGCGACGGGTGGAGTCTCTCCACTTCGTAATCTCCCTGTTGAAAAAATCTCTGAAGAGCCTGAATTAAAGAAAAAGATAGAAGAGAGAGTCACTTCATTGAAAGAGGCTTGTAATATCTTCTATGATACTATTATATCGAGCATTAATCAATATCCATATGGTCTGAGATACTTATGTAAAGTCATTAATGAAGGATCTGTCCAAGCTAACCCATCTACTCCAGATTCCGAGTTACTGAAATACACTGGGTACTTCATGTACTATAGATTTGTAGGACAATATATCACCGCGACAGAGACGGGACAGTCCTATGACCAAATTCAAAACATTTTGATGATCAATAAGATCTTCCAACAGCTGTTCCAACAACAAGAACCGTTCCCAAATACAGAGGCGAACTTGTGGAACTTACCAATGAACGCTTGGATCAATGAAAGATGCGGAGCAGTCAAACAATTCCTTTTGGACTTCACTGATGTCGACCCCCCTGAGGTCAAATTACAGATTGATAAGTATATGACCATGGTCCAGGATATGAGACCAGTCGTTGTCATGTCGCTTGCTCAGTTAAAGATGTTCCATCAAGAGTTGGTTGATCACGTTGACGATCTTGCTGCGAGCAAAGACGATCCTTTAAGAGAGATTTTGGCTGATTTGAAGGATGTCCAATTGTATGAGGGGAAGGACGTTTCGTTGACTTTGACAATTTCAAAACACGTCCGTCAGTCTTCTGAAGATGAAGAACAAGTCTTGTATAACAAGACCAAGTCGATGATCATTTCCTTCTTCAAGTTCATTAAAAACTCCGACACGGTCATTAACACCATCCAAGATGTGTTGGGCGAGACGGAGAGACTTGCAAAAGAGAAGAACAATGAGACTGTCTTGAAGAACTTGGAAGATACTAAGAAGAATTTAGAGGCTTTGGAAGCTAAAGGCCTTGTGACGAAAGAGGACGGCTACAAACAGTTCCTGAAGGACGTCGCCGTTGAAATTTCGAATCGGGCTGAGATCAAAGAACAGCAACAGAAGGAATTGACTCGACTTGAATTGTCGATTAAACAAGCTTTGAAGAAACAGAAGGACTCCCAAGACGTCTTAACTGCATACAAAGACTACTGCCAACAGTGTGTCCAGAGAATTTGCCAGGGCAAACAGAAGAAGGGGAAGAAGGGCACAGCAGGCAAATTGTTCAAGCCAAAGGAGTATTCATACAACGATCTTGTCAAGAAGGGAGTTATTCTGAACTCAGTCATTCCAAAGGCTATGAGGAAGATGACGAAGGTGATAATCTCATCGGAGGAGGCTGGTGTTTTCAACGTCCAAGTCAAATTGCCTGCTATTGCTTCTGAAAACGTCGATTTGAAATTGGAGGAATTGCTTGAAAAAAGAGAAAAGGGTGTTAGATCGCTTGACATCAATTCACAAATCGAACTGGATGTGAGTATGACCATTTATATGATGAACCAACTCATATCAAAGTAAGTGATTTCTTTCTCGACTTGATTTTGTTTTCTTTGTTCATTCAAAGGTATTCTTCACATGTGTTATGTAATTTATATGTTAAAAAGAGCGATGAGGAGCATCTAGTAAAGAAATTAAAGCTTAAAATGCCAGAAAAAGAGACTCATCATTACGTCCGAAAAATCTTAGATAAATAATACTCTTAATGAGCATAAGTTTGAGTAAGATAATTCACAAAAGAGGAAAGAACCAGAAAAAGGACAAATAATACCACGGTGGACCATTAAAAAGAAGATCTGAAAGAAATGGAGATGAAAATAAGAAGGGTTTTGTATGTAAAAATGGACATAAAAAGGTGTGAGAAAAATGAGATAATTTCAAAATGAGTGAAAGTCAACGTATGGCTTGTCCTGTCTTAATAGCTGTCTGTGGAGGGACAGCGTCTGGTAAGACGACGTTTTGTAATGTCATTGCATCGAACCCCAATTTCCAAAAAGTAGTAGTGATCAGTCAAGACTCATTTTATAGGAACTTGACTGAGGAAGAGAAGGCAAATGTAGCGGAGTATAACTTCGACTCTCCAAATGCATTTGACTGGGCTTTAATAATGAAAACATTGAAGAGAATTAAAGGACGAAAGAGAGTGGAGATCCCAACTTATGACTTCACAACACATAGTCGAACCAAAGAAGTGAAGATACTTGATATTGGGGATGTCGTCATCTTTGAAGGATTGTACTCATATTATAGTCAAGACAAATTTGACTTGTGCAGTATGTTTGACCTCAAGATCTTTGTCGAGACTGACGACGATGTCAGACTTGGGCGTAGAATTATTCGAGACATGAACTCGAGAGGAAGAACACTTGAAAGTGTTTTGTATCAATACAAAAAATTCGTCAAACCCGCATACGACGACTGGGTGTTCCCACAACGAAAGGTCGCTGATATCATCATCCCTTGGGGTGAAATTAGCAACAACGCACTTGAAGTCGATAATGAAAAGATTAACCAATACCCCGTTATCAAAATGATGACTCGATATATTGACCAATTCATCAAAAGATCTTCTTTCGAAAAGGTCGTCAGATCAGGCTCTGCTGAAATATTGAATGACTTGGATATTAAAACATCCGCTCTTAGTGATGTCGAGTGAGTAATTTATTTTTAAATATATGTTGGTTTTATATAATATATGATATTATATTTATTTGTTTTATTTAACACATTTGTAATTAACTAAGTTAATGATATGTTAAATCATTAGTGTAGTCGATTTTTATATAATTGTAATTCTACATTTTGTAACTAAATTTTAATTATATAATACTATATTAACTACTTATTAATTTAAGATTCATTTTATAAAGCATTAAGTAAAATTAATAAGTTTATAATGGTTTGTACAAACTATATTATTTAATTTAGATTTTAAATGATAATGAAAAAAATTAATTTTGTTTTTGTTTTAATTGATGGCTGTTCGGCGACTTTATAGTCCCTTTGAAAATCGCTGGCTTTTTATGGTCTTAAAAGTCGCTGACCTAAATAATTAGTTAAATAACTATTCAAAATACCATTTATCATGTAAAAGGAATTGAAAAAATAAACCATATAAATTTAATATAATTATTATTATAAAAAGAAATGAAACAATACCGTCCCAATTATATATTCCCAGATCATTTTTTAAATTATATTTATATGATTATAATATAACAAATTATAACAACTATTGTGTTTTTACACATTTTTGAGACAATAATGAATATGGTATAATTTATTAAAGTTAATAGTTATTTAGTTCTAAAAGAAGTCGGCGACTTTTGAAGGGACTCAAAAAGTCGCCGAACACACATAATATATATATTGGATTGTTTTTTTAGTAAATTAGTATAAAAAAATTAAAATAAAAAATAGTTTCACTAATTAATATATTAGTATTAATATTATATTAATTCAAAAATAGTATTATAAATATAAAACAACCAATAAATTATATTTAAAAAAATTAATAAAGTTACTATACTTAACCTGATGACACGTTTATTGTTTTAATAAAACATTTTATATATTTCTTTCAAAAACTGTTAAATAAATCTAGTAAAAATGATAAATTAATAACAATAACCAATATCAACTATAAAAAATGCATTAGTTATTAAATAGTAATATAATAGATTTAATATTAAAAACCAAAAATAATTCTCAAGAATCAGAATTAAAGCTTATCATAGAATCTATCCAAGCCCGGGACACCTTCTGGGAGGGCCTTTCTCTTTCTGACGGCAGCGATGAGGGAACCAACCTTAGTGGAGACATCATTGATATCACCGTTCATCAATTGCCAATGGTCGAAGACGCATTGTGGGAAGGCTTGACCTGAAGTGTGAGATCTCAAGTCAGCGGTGAAACCGAATGATTCGCAGACTGGCAAGTAAGCTCTAACATTGAACAATGGGGTGCCTGGTCTTTGTTCTTCTGAGATGATCTTTCCTCTTCTCTTTGACATGACGGTGTAGATACCTCCGATAGCTGATTCTGGGCATTGGATTTCAGCAAGATACATTGGTTCGAGGAGGGATGGAGCACCAGTCAAAATACAAGCGAAGCAGCATCTTCTAGCGCATGGGATGATTTGAGCACCACCTCTGTGGATAGCATCGGCGTGCAATTTAACATCTTCAAGGTTGATTCTAACGCCTCTGATTTGTTCATTGCAGACGACACCTTCGTGCATAGCGTTGTTGAACCCGTTGACAATAGAGTCCTTAACTTCATTCAAGTATTGGATACCCTTGGTGACATCAACAAAGATGTTTGGTCCGTTGTTGTCTGGGCCGAAGCACCAGATCTTTCTCGCCTCATCAATATCCCATTGATACTTCTCAGAAAGGATTTTAGCTCTTTCCTTCAAGTCCTGGTCGTGTTTAACAACACCGGCTTCAATATCCTCAGAAAGGCCTTCGGCCAATGGAGCGGCTTTCATGAAAAGTCTGTTCTGATTGTTAGCGGATTTAGAAAGGCATTGGATGCGAGAGACTTCAGTGACGGTTTCTCTGAATGAGACAACTGGTTCAGTGACAACCAATGGGACACCAGCACAGTATTGTTCTTGGAGATCCTTAAGGCAAATCTCAAGATGCAATTCACCGGCACCGGCAATAATGTGTTCACCAGACTCTTCAGTGTAGCACAAGCAAAGTGGATCAGATCTTGAGAGTCTCTTCATACCTTCGACGAGTTTTGGGAGATCAGATGGACTCTTAGTTTCAACGGCGACTCTGACGACTGGGGAGACGGAGAATTTCATATCCTTAATGATGTGAGCAGTCTCACTGTCAGTAATAGTTCCTGATTTCAACAAGTATTGATCGACACCGACAAGTCCAATGACGTTTCCGCATGGGCACTCATCAATTGGTTCAGTGTATCTGCCCATCATCAACATAGTTCTTTGAATGTTCTTAATGACCATATCGTCCTTCTTGCCCGGGACATAGTTTGGTCCACAAATTCTGGCCTTTCCTCCAGTTCTGATGGTTCCAGAGAAGACACGACCGAACGCGTAGAATCTGCCCTTATCGTTGGTTGGAATCATTTTTGAGACGTACATCATCAATGGTCCCTTATCATCACAGTTCACCATAGCCTTAGCGACATCATCATCAACAGGTCCAGTGTACAAGTTTGATGTTCTGTATTTCTGAGCAACGACTGGGGATGGGAGGTGCATAACAATCATCTCAAGAAGTGATTGACCAGCTGGTAACCAGGTCTTCATAACTTGCTTAACAAGTTCCTTTCCTTCCTTTTCTTTGTCTTCAGCAGACAACTTGATCTTCAAGTTGGTGATCATCTTAGTGTATTCTTCCTTCTTGCCGTCCATAATAGAAACAAAGAGTTTCTGAATTGGTTCAAAGCAGAATTGGACAAAAGCTCTCTTCAATGGTTCACCGTTGTCTCCCTTTGGAGTGTGCTTCCACTTCTTGGCTTTGGCGTCCCAGAAGTTATCGTCCCAGAGTTTCTCAAGCATTCTTTGCTTGTCAATACCGAACTTCTCAGACCACATCTTAGCGAATTTGTCCAAAGTGAAGGCCCATCCGTGGAGACCGGAACCGAAGGCAACAGTTCCCTTGCTTGGTGCAACTTGGACATCACCGAGTAATTCGTCCTTGTAAGTGGAGATCAAGACATTGACGTTTTCAATTGATCTGCAGAATGATTGGTAAGCCTCTTCTGGTGCTTCTTTAAGTTCAAGGAAGACACGATCGACTTTGTTGATGATAACGACTGGCTTGACTCTCTCAGTAAGAGCTTGTCTCAAGACAGTTTCGGTCTGGACGCAGACACCTTCGACACAATCAATGACAACTAAAGCTCCATCAGTGACACGAAGAGCAGCAGTGACTTCAGATGAGAAATCGACGTGGCCCGGAGAATCGATCAAATTGATCAAGAAACCGTTTCCGTTGGCATCGGCTGGGATATCATCTTTGTCTTCGATTTCATAGTACATAGAGATGGATGTTGACTTGATGGTAATGCATCTCTCTTGTTCATCGGGTCTGGTATCAGTGTATCTGGCAACACCGGCCTTATCGTTGGAAATAATACCAGCGAGGGTGACCAATGAATCAGTCAATGTGGACTTGCCGTGATCGACGTGGGCAATGACACACATGTTTCTAATGTTGTTCTTGTTCAACATGAAATCCTTCATTGTTTTGATGCCGGTTGTCATAACTGCTTTGAATGGTTCTCTCTAAGATCTACGGCCCTTATATACTTAAGTCAACCCTCGCCCTCATACTCCATTTTACTATTATTCTAATTCTTTTTACTATTAATATAGTAGACACCACTATTTTTGTCAAGTATCTATTTTGGAACCCTAAGACCAAAACATAGGGATGTCTCGCTTACAATGTCATCGAATTTAATTGTTATTACTTCATAGTAATAATTATTTAATAATCGGGAAATGTTGCTATTATTTGTTTCTTAGACACGTGGTTACGTTTTATTTTAAGTCTCTTGTTCTCTTATCATTAGTTTAGTTTATTTCTACTTATCCAAGCAAGAATAAACATACTTGGCTTGGACTTCCCAAAACTATTTCAAAATATTTCATCGCGTTTAAAGTTATTGTGACCATTTATTTTTGAATCTTGTCTTCACACTCTTTTGAGATTGACGAAAAGAACTCTCATTTCAACATAACATCAAAGCCAGCAATGATTATTCATTTTTACTTTTCACCATTTTTATAAAATAGAAAAATTCAATTTAAATTTTCATAATATAATATTTTAATAATATAACTATCTTTTACTGTTTTTTAACTTTGTTTTTAACAGCTAGTTTTGTCTAAAGCTTCAAACAATTGACAAAAAATAGACTATTACTTTGTTGTACCATTTAAATCTATAATAAAACCATATAACCATTATCATTGCTTTAAAACCATATCCGAACCATACATAATTATATAATATAGTACATTTTACAATTGTGTTGTTTAACACGAGAATTGAAGAATTCAATAGTTTAGACTCCAAATTAGAGATACCCTGGTGGTGGGTCTTGTCTTCTTTGGTTCTGTTGATTTCTGTTTTGTCCCGTAGTATTTCCTTGATTCTGTCCTTCTCTGTTTTGTTCATCGATTGACTGTTGGAGTTGTTCGACAGTGATTCCCATTGATTGTGCGACCATATTGAGCATAGGTCTCATCGCGGGATTATTCATAAATCCTCTTGCCATGTCCATCAGTTGTGAGTTTCCTGTGAAGAGGGATTCGAGTCCTTGTACATTAGGCATTCCTCCTTGAGGCATTCCCATTCCACCAAACATATTAAAAAGATTTGGTTGCGGTTGTTGTTGAGGAGGAGTTCTTGGACCGTCTTGTCCAATACCATTTGGTAGTCTCTCTTGGATTGGGATGTCTTTATTTTCTTTAGTCTCTGTTGTTTCCTTCATTTCTTTCTCTTCGATTTTGATCTCTTTGTTTTCTTCTTTTTCAGACTTTGTGTTGAGTGGCTTCACTTCCTTTTCCTCTTTCTTAAGAGAATCTTGCGACGGGGTTTCCTTTGCAATGATCTCGAGAAGGTGTTGCCTATTTTGTTTGAACAACTGATCGTTTGGTTCAAGTGCTATTGCGGTGTCTATCGCCTTCAATGCTTTCTCGTAATCCTTACGTTTACTTAAGACGATAGAAAGTCTTCCATATCCCTTCGCGTAGTTCGGATTCATCTTAATCGACATATTCGCATCGTCAATAGCAAGCAAATCCTCTCCTATCGCAGTGTACGCCGCGGCTCGGTTCCCATAGAAAATCGGGTCTTTGCACAGCGCAATCGCTTTCGAGTATTCGTCGATCGCTTTCGCAAATTCTTTCTTCGCCAAATGTTCGTTCCCTTTCATCTTGTGTTCTTCCGCTTCCTTAAATTTGGCAGGGTCGACAGTTTCCGCAGGTGCGTGAGTCACCACGCTGTTTGTTCCTGTGTAGTGTGTATTGAAGTATGTTTTCGCCTTCTCAATTTTCATCTCTTTTTGCGTTTCGCTACAATTCGCGAAGAATCCTTTCTTCTCCAAGTTGACTAAGAATTGGCGATAGAGTGGTGACTCCATTTAACTTGTAAAGTGAAGTTTATAGTTTGTTATATAATTTATTAAATAATACTAGTTTTAACTATATTAAATAGTTATTTTTAAATAAGAATAGTTCCAATCAATACTTCAATTCATAATTTAAACAACCTCTTTGCTAACGTGGCTATGTTGATATGGAGATTCCTCGACTCATCACAGATGCAAACCATCTCCATAAGGCAAAGTAACTTTTCGGAGTCTTCAGACATTGTTAGATACTGGCTTTGAAGTTCGTTGTATCTATTGATCTCGTCTTGTGTACAGTAACAACTACACTTCTTGATGAGAAATGGGTCAGCTTTCCTGATGTGATTATAACAAGTCTTGCTCCGCTCTTTCTTTTTAGGCGGGACAATAAGCTCATCTCCGCCATCTTCTATTTCAATGACCTTATCATCACCAATTCCACTCTCTTCGACTCGGACTTTGTTCTTTTTTTTCCTTTGTTGTGTCTTCCGCGTTTGGTCAAACACAATTTTACCCAATTCGTCTGGGTCTTCATCGTCGACGTGGGTATTGATTTCGTCGGGTAAGTCTGTTTTGATGATGAAATTGTGGTCCGACACCCCATACACTCCACTCAACGATTCTATTGTGTGGATGTGCTCATTCAGCCATTGTGGATACACAGGCATGTTCTGAGGAAACTGTGGTTGATACTCTTTGAATAAGATGTGTGTTGTGGAGAAGTCGAACTTGACTTGGCTAACGTCGAAGAGTGCGTACAACTCATCTTTTGTGAACCAATGCCTAAACCTCTGATTGGCCATATTCTTTTCCAACGCAAGTTCCGCAAGAGTCGCCTTATGTAATTGTCTTCTATACATCTTCTCTTCTACCGTCCCACACGAAACAAGTCGATACGTCACAACATCTTTTGTTTGTCCTATACGATAGACGCGGTCGACAGCCTGATTCCCTATAACAGACCATCCTTCATCAAAGATCACCACACGACTCGCTCCAGTGATATTCAACCCACACGCTCCAACACGTATTGTCATCAATAACACACCCCAACTTTGCATAGTGTTAAATCGTTTGAGTCTCTCTTTTCGTGTTCTGTCGTCGACACTTCCATCAATTCTCATAAAAGGTACGTCTTTCACTTGCAATAAATCACATATAGAATCAAGTGTTCTTTGATATTGAGAAAAGACTAAGCACTTGTCCCCCGTCTTCTCAAACATCTTGAGGATCTCAAGAAGAATTAAGAGCTTCGGCCAATAAAACTCGGCTTCTTTCTCTGCAAAATCGATCATTTGTTCGTCAATAAACTTATGTGTGCCATCATTCGACGCAGTGTCTTTAATTGCTGGAGGGTTACTACACGACTTTTCTAAGTAATTGATCATTCCAATAACTAGTCTCATATAAGTCGTCCCAAGGTCTCTCATATTAATCGACTTTAATAACTTCAAGTACATCTCTCGTTGGTTCTTATCCATTTTGATCCACACAATCAACTCAAACTTACTCACCGTCAGCTGTAAATCGTCTTTAGATTTGGGAGTCTTTGAATCGTCCTCGTCGTCGACGTCCTTTTTCTGTTTCTCTTCGTCAAGCAGTTCAGGGCCTCCCTCTCCAAAGACGTCTTTTTTTGTTCTTCTTAAGATATAAGGTCCTACTACACGAGACAATTGTGTCAGTCGTGTTTTAGCATACGGACTCTCTTCATTCTTCAAATTTGCCTTTGAAATGACTCTTTCATACTTTTGTTGGAAATACGCCGCTTCCCCGAGTAACTCTCCATCAGTCGTGAAGTCCATTAAATTCCACAACTCCATCAAATTGTTCATCATCGGTGTACCCGTCGCAGAGATTTTATGCTTCGCTTTGAAGCTTTTCAACGTTTGCGTGACCTTTGCGGTTTTCGACTTAATGACATGGGCCTCATCTAATATGATGTAATCCCATGTCACACAACTCACCGACGATTCATCGTTTTGAACCATATTGTACGTCGTTAGTAATATCCCACCTTCCGTCCCAACAGCTCTCGCAGCAGCTCTTCTGTCTGCTGGTGCCATGTCGTGGACGTTAAACATAGTTATTCCAGGACTCCACTTCTTCGCTTCAGTTTCCCATTGTTGCGCAACCATCGCCGGAACTACCAACAAGAACGTCTTCGCTTGGACGCGGATGTCTTTCAAACACGACACACCTAATATGAACGCGAGTATTTCTACCGTCTTCCCAAGCCCCATATCATCGCCTAATATACACCCGTGTATTTTAGTGTCATTGTGATGTTCCCATAACCATTTAATAGCAACTCGTTGATGTGGAAGTAACATCGAGAAGATATCATAAGGTATAGAAAATCCATTATTTAAGTAGTACCGACCCGTCTCAGCGTTATACAAAAATCCCGACGGGTCGTTGACGGTGGTCACGTCTACACTCTTTTTCGTTTCGGCAATTTTGTCTTTAATCTGTTCAAGCTTCAGTGGGAGTTTTTGGTGAGAGGGAACCACTTTGAGTGCAGATTCGTAATAGTGAAGTGCAAGGGTATAGTCGTGTTTATTTTCTGCGCCTTGTGCCGAGTAAATTAATGCGTTGAATTGGCGTTTCTCGTCTTTCGAGAGCTTCCCTTTCATTACTATTTAGTATCTTTATATAGTTTCTATTTAATTCAATCAATTTTTTTATTCTTGTATCATAAATTAATAATATTTGAATTAATAAATTATAATATTAATAGTTTTAGTCATTATTTTGTATCGAAATAATTAATTGTATTATTATTTATAATATTATTTTTTAATAGGATAAACTTATTAATTGATGTCTTTTATTAGCTACGAGAGTGTATCAGCCTTTTGCAAAGACTTTTTTTCTAAGATTTCAATGTTCACGACGGTCCTATTGTCGATTATCGTATGTGTGTTTTTGAGTGGAGGCAGTCAATTTTTAAGATCGTTTTCGACAATTGTCACACTGAAAGACTTTTCAAGTGGTGTTGTAGGGATGTTCACACACAGTTTTGTCCACGCAAATATTTTACACATTGTTATGAATTCAATGGCTCTTTTTGGCTTTGGGTGTACTGTTGAATATCGAATTGGGACAGTGAAGTTCATTGTGCTCTTTATAGTTTCGCTCGTGTTTAATCCCGTTTTCATATTGTCTGCAGCTTCAATAGGATTGATCTATAATACTGATGTTGTTGGGATGAGTGGCTTTTTATTTACTTTGATGGTAGTAGAATATTATAAGGAAGATGGGTACATTGACATTATCTATTCGATTACTATTAATATAGTTATATATATCATTGGTATACTATTTCAAATGCCTGTCAGTCTTGCTGGGCATTTCAGTGGTATTTTAGTCGGCTTTTTGTGTTTGTTCTTCTGTCATATTTTAATCAAGTAATTAATGTCACAGACACACGTGGTTTCTTGGACTTTTTGTTTGATAATCGAGTCATTGACTTTATTGAGAAGAAGATGGAATTGGCTTTGGGGTGTTTAGTCTTATTCAAGCCAGCACAACACATTGAGAAAAAGTCACACGTCGAGATACTTCACACAATCAAAAGTGATATTAAAAACATGTTTGTTTGTTTATTCTAAATAACTGTCATTGACCGTTCAGCTTTTCTAAGTGCAAAAGACAATCTAATCCACCTCTTCCTCTTTGTTCCCTTGTTTATATAACATTAAAACTATAAATGTTATTATATACTATTTTAACTATAAATTAATCACTTTTTATTAAGACTTTTTTATATATTAAAAAATAGTTTTATAATTATTTAAACCAAAAAGCTAATAATTATAATAACAATACCATATAACATAAATTACACAAAACAGGAATTTATATAAACTCAAAGCAGCTTAAAGTCGTCTTCATCGTTGAGTACGGGGAAATGATTTCTCCACAAATGAAGTTCTTCATAATCAAGAGTAGCATAAATCAGTTGTTCAACACCCGGCAAAGCTTCTTTTATTGGGATTCCAAAGGGGTCGAGAATCCTGCAGTCACCCGTGAACACCAAATCGGGTTTACCAGGTACACTATCAGGAAGCACACCACAATTATTAGCAGCAAGCAAATAAGCGGAGTTCTCGATTGCTCTTGCTGTTGTGAGTGACATCCAATGGTGTCGTTTATCACTGCTCCAAGCGGCTACAACGATCAAAATGTCATACGGGTCTTTCTTATCATTTCGTAACCACACGGGGAATCGTATATCGTAGCATATCGCAAAGTTAATTTTCCAGCCTTTGTAATTGACAATAGTCTTGTGGTTGCCTGGTGTGAAGTGTAACGCCTCGTCCCCCATAGTGAATAAATGTTTTTTGTCGTATGACGAGACATCACCCTCCGGTGTCACAAAAAAGAGGCGGTTGTAATACTTCATGTTTTCTTCAACTACTATCGAACCAACTACAGCAACTTTTTTCTCTTTCGAAATGGTTTTCATCCATCTCAGAGACTTCCCATCAACAGGAGACTCTGCTACAGGTGTCGGTTGTGAGGTGAAACCACAATTAAACATCTCTGGAAGAACTATTAAATCGATGTGACGGGCATGAACCATTGAATTGATCAAGTCAGTCATATGTGCTAAGTTCTTGTCGATGTTTTGCGCGACTACGACGGGTTGTACCAAACACACAGTAAGGGGTGCAGGGGGCTCTGACATTTTTCACAAAAAATGAGTTGCATAGTGGAAATAAATCTGTGGAAAGTTTCTTTTCCATCCCGAGTGTTCGCTTTGTTTCTCAAGAGTTCTACTCCGCTATTATTTTTTGGGGGAAAGATAAAGCCGAATTTGCCAAATGACTTTTTAATAGCCGTTTCTTGAACAAAAGTCGATTTGTTTGGCGAAAAAAGACGGGACCAAACGTTTAACAAATCATTTCTATTTTTGTGAATTGTTTTGGTTTTTGGTGCTTTTCCCAGTTATTGGTGACAAAATTGATATCGTCATAAAAACTATATTTTTATATTTACTTTACTAGTCAAAAGGTAAATAATAAAAACACTACGATTAGTTTGCCAATTAGAAATTATTTGATCATTTTGTCGATTTAAAAAGATAAAAACATAGAAGATTGCCAGTTAAAAATAGAACAATTAATAGCATTAAAAAACATTTTGGGAGAATAAATATTTTAAAAACAAAAAATTGTCAAAAATATTATATTGGACGTTTTTTTTTGAAAAACAAAACTATTAAAAAAATTAGATATTTATTTATTTTATTAAAGTTTATAATAATACATCATTGGTGAAAAAATAAAATTGGAAAAAAATAATCAACCAAAAAAAAATAAAACATCATAAACCAAATCTTATATAACAAATTAATTAAAGTGAAATATTATAATTTATTTAAATATAGTCAGTCCGAAAACGTTGTCAGCTCTCCAACGTTGTCCAGGCATTTTTGGACCATCAAAACTGGAATATTTCGGGAAACAATTCGAAACAATCCCAAAACATTTCATAATTTTTACCAGGATTTGATCGTTTTTACCTAATTCCTAAATTTTTCAACATATTTTGTGTAAAATTTTGTCAAATGGACAACATTTTACAAGCGGACAACGTTTTTAGACAGACTTTATAAGATATAAAAATGATTTATAAAGTGCATCACAAAATGGTCGACCACCATAAAATTGTCGTACGGCTTTTAAAACAATTTATTTACACAAAAGATTCACTTTGAAAAATGATTGTTTTGGAAAATTCAATACAAAGGACTTTTTGTTCTGTTTTGTTCTTTTTGACTTTTCTTTACGAAGATATTTTCATAAATGATTTTTTTATTGATTAAATTCGAATCGTTATTCTGAAATTGATTTTTGTTATTGACAATGTTGTTATTTATCTTTGTTTTGTCATAAATAGTAAAATATAGTTTTTATAGTTTTATTAACAGTTGATAATTATTGAACTTGGTTTATTCATTTAATGTTCGTAAAAATAGAGCACAATACGTACCATCTTATCTTTGATATACCGTGTTGACTGTACAATTATTTTTCTGTCAATTGTCTTATTATATTAAATGAATCATTTGAATATTAAGATTTCTAAACTCAACTGTGTATATTCAATATAAAAAACGAACTTATATTATTTTTTAAAGTTCGTTTTTTGATGTTTTTATCAAAAGTCAATTAAAATTAATAAAAGACATACACAAGTGTTATGAATGAGGACTTGATCATAGTTTGTTTCAGTGGCATCTGTGATAAACTATTAGTATTATAGATAATCAAGTTGTTGTTCAACGAAACAATTTTTGGTTTTTTTATTTTTTGTGAATAATTTGTTAAATTGAATAATAATTAATTTTATTAAAATTATTAAAACATTATTGATTAAAACAGCTTTATTGTTTAATAATAAATTATCAATAACGATATAATATCCGGTATGGTACTGTTTGATAAGGTATTTTTGTCTGAAGAAAAAAAACATTTAAACTTTTTGTTATAATTTTATCATTTAAAACCACAAAAAATAGAAAAAATGAAATGGAAGAGAAAAGTGGTTTTTTAGTACACTTTGTATTTTTGCATTTGTTTAAAACTATTGTTGATTATCATAATAAAAAACTAAAAAAAAACAAATGAAACCTTTAAAGTCTAAACCCTTAAGAAGGCTGGCTTCAAAAAAACTCAACGTTGAAGCAATCAAAATTTACAAAAGAAGACAACATACAGATAAACTTCTATCTATTGTTCTTGAAAATTTTCAAGCATTATTGAGTTGTACTTATTTGTTTGAACAATTGAAAATTGTTAATTCTCAAGACAATGGAATACCAAAAATTTCAGCTCAAAGAAAAGCTGATTTTTTTGGAGTTCCAAAAACAACAGTGATTGATAACGAGAAATATGGCGGTATGTCATCTAAAATTGGCAGAAAAAGTATGTTAACAGAAATGGAAGTGTTAGTAATCGCGAACAAAATCAGAGAAAAACAAAATACATCAGACCCCGTTACACTAACCACACTTGTAGATTTTGTGGAAACCACAATTGGAAAAAGATTGTGTAAACAAACAATATTAAATCATTTATCTAAAGAAGGATTATCAACAAAACACATTCAACCACAAGAACAGGAACGCGCTCAGTTAAACAAAGACCTGCTTTTAGAATACGAAGAGCGTGCACATCAATTACTTAACAATTCAATTCAGTATGCTGGTTCTAGATGTGTGCATTTAAATGGAGTGATTCCATCTTTGATACTAAATATTGATGAGAGCGGGTTTATACCCTACACTGACGAAAAAGGTGCTCATAGTTTGATAGATGCAAATCTTCCTTTTAGAAGTTACTATCAAGTTGATAGATCAATCAGACGGGTCACATTATTGGCAGGCATATATGGAGATGGCACCACCTTGAAACCGTTAATAGTTGTATCTCGAAAAACTATTGACAATGAAATTAACGAGTATGTTGATTCTGACAACATTGTCATCGTATATCAGGAAAATGGCTTTGTTGATCACAAAATATATAAATTATGGCAAAAATATGTCTTGGGACCTGATTTGGAAAACAGAAGAAAGTTGTATAAAAACGAATGGGCTGTCATTATTCAAGATAACTTTGGAGCACATTTACAAAATGAGTGTCATGAATGGTTTATGAAAAATAAAATTGGTGAACTTTATTTGTGTCCTCATAGTAGCCATCTTAGTCAACCACTTGATGTTGTTATTTTTGGAGCACAAAAGGTTTGTTTTTATATGTTTTAAGTCCATTATTGAATACCATTTGATCTGCTTTTTTAAGGAAACTATTATTGTTTATTATTTTAATATTTTTTATAGCTTTTCCATGATAATTAAACTATTATAAATGCATCATAAATACTAAAAATTACCAACAGAAATTGATCAGATATAAAGAAGTGCAAAACGCAGCAAAGGAAAAAATTGGAAATGAACTCATTCTGAAAAGTGACGAAGTTGTTGAGATCAAGAAAAAAGTTAAAAGTGGCAAAAGAGAAACAATAGATTACTTGTTTAGTTCCAAAGGTTTAAGACCATCGACCATCGAAGAAATCAGGACCAGCAGCTTGACCAAACAAATTGTCGCTATTGTTTCTTCTTTCCACAAAGCGGCGATTTCAAAAAACATCATTTCTGCATTTTATATCTGTGGGTTTGTTAAAACACAAATTGCGTCAGACAAGGAAACAACAAAGGATGAACATGAGTACAGAATGTATTATAAAAAGGAACATGCGCGCCATATTAGAGAATTCATGAATGAACCATATTCAGTGGTAACAGAACATTTTACAGGTCGTCTTTCGGTTCAAATCCAAGATGTGGAGAACCGTTATGAAAAGAGAATCAGTGGGAACAACTTAAATTAATTGTGTGGTTATTTTAGATGGTTTTATTGATCATTTTAAACTATAAATAATAAGTTAATAACTAATACTTATTAATATTGTATTTTTGTTTGATGTAAGAAATACACATTTAACCATCGAAGTGTTCTTAACATTCTATTACTTCGGTGAGTATTCAAGAAAATTCATCAGAAAAATCATTTTTCAAATTGAATCTTTTGTGTAAATAAATTGTTTTAAAAGCCGTACGACAATTTTATGGTGGTCGACCATTTTGTGATGCACTTTAATTAAATTTTTTAATTTAAGTTTTTTATTATTAGTTAATATCACTGTATGAAAGCATAATTAAATTTATAAAATAAAAATAATTAATTATGATAATTTAAATAATATTATTTGATTATAGAAAGACAATTATTAATTTTCAGTTGATAAATGGAAAAAATTAATAACAGTATTAATAACTTTTATTTTATTTTTTATAAATTTTTATATAAAAAAAAATGCTTCAAAGATATTAATATTAAACTATAATTTAAGATAAGAAAAGTTTTGTTGAAATTATAATTTTAATTGTTCTAAATTGTAAAAACCACGAACAATTATCAAAATAATTTTAATAGTATAAAATAAAAATTTTTTGAAAATAATTAATAATTTGCCGTTTTGTTATGTAAATAACAAGTGATTATGGCAAATGCAATCAAATTGTGGTAAATACAAACAACAAAAAAAATAATTACTATATAGTTTTTTTTAACAATTTTATTAATTTATTTTGATATTAAATAATGCTTAAATATTTTTTCTTCCATCAAAAAAATAAACAACTTAAATAATAAATTAAAAAGAAATTACTATTTATAATAACAAAAGTTTTGACACCAACTAAAAAAGAGTAAAAAAAGTAAACTTTATAAGGTGAGTTTTCAAGTTCTCGAAAACTCGAAAAACGGGAACAACTTGGAATGGAACAAGATCGATAGATGGCGGAAGACCAAGAGAGTTTACATGTATCAGTAGAGAGTTTAAGGCCAAACCTGTATGAAGGGTGGGGGAAGAAACAAGGAGGAGCAGTGAAGACGTGGAAGAAGCGCTGGTTTGTGTTGAAAGAGAATCGGTTGTGGTATTTTGCGTCGAAGACGGCGACGTCAGCGAAAGGGTTTATAGAGTTAATACCTGGAACGGAAACAAAAGATGTTAGTGAGAACAAGAAGTTTATGTTTTCGATCAATTCTCGGAACTTGAAGTTTGTTATAGGAAGTTATATATAATAGAAGAATAGAGTGATTTTTCGAACGGATAGAACAGAAGAGTGATGAGTAGAGGCCCACGAGTATTTTTCATAGTGACTGAAAATTCGATCGATCATGAATCATTTTTCAATGCGGTACGGAAAGCACTCACGAAGACAACACCGACAGCACCTGCTGTAACAACACAAACTAATGTGTCTACGCCAAATGCACCACAAAATTCAGCGAGTGCAGCGCCACAAGCGCCTGTTGTTGCAACGGCGCCAGTGACACAAAACACAACGAGTGTATCGATTCAAGGAGCGTTACAGGCGAAATGTGATGGCAGAAAGAATATAGCGAAAGTGAAAGCAAAGATCCCATGGTTACAAGCTGAAGGAGAGAATGTAGTTGAATTTTGGAAATATTGGATGGATTCGACACCACAACCTGATGCGCTTGAGCCTGGACAATCGATTCAATATATGCTTGTTGTTTCAGGAAACACCGACAAGTTGTCGTGGCGAGTGTATGGCCCACAAGGTGCATTGATTCAAAATATGGTGGATTTCTTTTGGAATGTTGGTGCACCAGATGAAGAGATAGATCATTTAAACAGTCTTGGGTGTCAAATTAATCCAAGTGAAATTGGGTCATGGATTGACATGAGTGTGATGAATGGCATGGATGGTGGGTGGTTTTTCAAAGGTGAATTGTCATGTGATATCATTAGAGATACGGCTGACAAATGTGAACATTCGGAACGATTAATCAATTGGGCAAAGGAACATGGACTGAATTATATGTGCCAAATTGGACGAGACATGGGTGCTACTCCACCACGACAGTCTGAATTCAGATTTAAGCTTGATGGCGTTGTTAGTACACGAATGGAAAAGGTTAACTCGGCTTTCTCAACTTTTGGATTCCCACCAATTGCAACAAACATTTCAGATACACTTGTCAATCTCCCACCAGTCTACACATACTTCTATTTGTGCGTAATTGTCTCAAGTGATGGGTTCGTAAAAATCAGCGTCTTGGTGCCTTCACCAAAACAGGACTTGATCTTACAATTCTTGAGCAGTATGGGCGACGTTAAAGAAACACAAATCGCACTACACAACGATATCATGAGTACACTCGGAACAACTCCACTCTTCGTCGAGTACACGTACCTTAACCAAGGGTATGGGTACGACGTCTACAAAGAGGGCGCAGACGTCCTCGTCCACTACAACCTCGGCACAGAATCGCGTTAATCACTCATTCAAACCAGTTACTTGTTAAACCATTTTTTCTTCTTTCTTTCTCATAATTGTTGACTTTTACAAAACTCGTCTTTATAGTAAAGTCTCTCCATAAACCTTATTTATTCCATTAATTTTATTTATTGTCAATTTTTAATAAAAATGTTCCTAACTCACGGGAAAAGATATATAAGCCTAAAAAAGGATATTATAAATATAATTATTTAAAAATTATTTAAAAAAATAAAACTAAAAAAGACTTGCGACAAACTTGCACTGGCTTACGTGGCAATACCTTTTCAAAAAAAACATGGACAAAATGAGAAAAAATGATTAACCCTTAGACGACTGACTAAAAATACTTTTTTTGTTTTTTTGAAAAATAAATTTTGAAAAAAAATAATTTCACTTTTCCAAAAAAATGAATACAGTAGAGAGCGTTTTAGTTTCTTAAAAAACGGGTTTAATTCTTTACAATTCAGTTTGTTTCTTTGTCTTTTTTTTAAATTCCAGTTTCATCTTTTTAAATTCCATTCATTCTTTTTATATTTCCATTTGTATTTTTAACAATTCTTTTTATTTCATCACTTTCCCACATTTTCAGGACAATCACACTCATTTTTTGTCATTTCTTTCTATTTCACAAACTTTCTCAAGTGTATTTTTAAAGTTTCTTGTCTCAATTTTATTTCTTTTCGTTTCAAAAAAATTACAACCGAATGAGTCAATTAAAGATTATCTCTGGCAGTAGTTTTACTCCATATTTCTGTCCTGCAGAGTTCCATTGTTCTAATTTCTTCATTTGGGAGGGGAAAGTGTGTTGAACGAAATCATTTAAAAGGAGAGTTTCTTCTTCTTTTCTTTGTGGTATATTCGCTGTGTTATTTAAAATTCCCGAAATTGTTTCTTCATTGATGTCTTCGACTTGTTCAATACTTATGGTGTTCTCTATTTCCATTGCAGTTCGAGCCACACTTCTGATTTGGTTATTGATAGTGTTGGGTCATATTCATAAACTTTTGTGACTAATTTTTGAAATGGCTCAACTCTAGACTTTCTTTTAAAGTGATTCTATGGAAGAATTGATTTGCCTTTCCTGAGTAGACCAAGTAGTTTGTTGATGTTAACAATATTGATCCCAACAGTAGTTGAATAATATGTTGGGTTCTCGTCATCTCCATGTATTCTGAATTCGGATATTAATTTTCTTTTGGCACTAAGAGAGACCCTCACATATGGTCGCTTTTCAGTAGTCATTCTGGTGCTTGTTCTTGGTCTTCTTTGGTGTGTAAGTTGGAGAGGTGGTATAAACGGATGTGTTGGTTCCACATTAGCGACAGTACCTTCCCTTGGTTCGGAAGAGTTTTCTATGTACTGAGATTGTACAAATTGTTCTCTGGAATCAATATATTCAAGAGTCATATGAATACGTATTTAATATTTTGTTTAAATATTATATTATTATCGTAATTGGATTTTTTTCGATTTTTTGAAACGAAAAGAAATAAAATTGAGACAAGAAACTTTAAAAATACACTTGAGAAAGTTTGTGAAATAGAAAGAAATGACAAAAAATGAGTGTGATTGTCCTGAAAATGTGGGAAAGTGATGAAATAAAAAGAATTGTTAAAAATACAAATGGAAATATAAAAAGAATGAATGGAATTTAAAAAGATGAAACTGGAATTTAAAAAAAAGACAAAGAAACAAACTGAATTGTAAAGAATTAAACCCGTTTTTTAAGAAACTAAAACGCTCTCTACTGTATAATGGTGACTTTTCATGAACAATTTAGAATGATTTTTGACTTTTTTGATAAAACAGTTCAATTTAATTCAAACTTTTGAATTATTTATAAAACATTCCATCATTCATAAACTCAAATTAATTGGGTTTTGTTAACGATTCGTTATTCAATCAATAAAATATATAATTTAACAAATTAATATCAGTAATATAAATAATACGAAAACAAACTGTTTTCATTAACAAATAAAAATGTCAATAAAAATTGATTAAATAATATTAACAGATATGTAATTTTTTTAAAAACAAATAAAAACACAAAAAAGTGTGCAAGAATGTGGGTTATATATAACCAATGAGATTAGTTCATAATAACATAACAAAAAAATTGTTGTTGAAATAAAAAATGGATTCCACTCAAACTAAAAAAACTTAGAGAACCAAATAACAACAAAATATTACGATATAAACCCATCATCATTACTATTAATTCTGTTAGTTATTCAACTGACACAACAATAACATAAAAATAATAATCTTTTATGGTAAAACAACGCTATAAAACATCAATTTAAGTCGAGAAAAATAGCAGTTTTGGATACATTATTCAATGCGTGACAAAAGTATAACAAATTGTAAGTAATTTTAATTATAAATAAACTATAATTAATCAACTTGTGAATTATATGATTAATAATAAATTATTATATATTTTATGACTGATCATAACAATAATTATTAAAACTAAACCAAATGAAGACTCACACAAATATAATTAAATTGAGCCAAAAATAAACAGCCTTGATTATGCTTATTCGTTTCTCATCTACAACCACCTCCATTTTGTGCCATTGGTTTGATGCCTGGGTACATTGATTTTCCACCAGACAAGATGATGTTTCCGTACAAGTCCTTTCTGATATCGACATCACATTTCATGATTGAGTTGTGAGTTGTCTCGTGGATACCTGATGCTTCCATAACAAGGAATGATGGCTGAAAGAGTGCTTCTGGGCATCTGAATCTCTCGTTTCCGATTGTGATGACTTGACCATCTGGAAGTTCGTATGACTTCTCGAGTTCTGATGATGAGGCAGATTTTTGCATTTTTTCGTTGAAGTCAAGAGCGACGTAGCAGAGCTTCTCCTTGATGTCTCTGACAATTTCTCTTTCAGCAGTTGTGGTGAATGAGTAGAGTACCGTGAAAAATCACTGCTACGTGAAATATTACTGCGAATTGTTATTGGGCCAAAAATAATGTTATTGTTGCTTATAAAACATAAAAAATAATTTACTTTGTAAAAATGTTATATAATATGGCTATCAATTAAAACAATAGTAAATTCTTAAAAACGAACATTCCAAACAACTCAAACTAGGTATTGGTTTTTATTTTATAAATTTTAACAATTTATAACTTATAACACGAAACAATACATCAAAACATAATAACAAAAAAGAATAAGTTAGGACATCGTATGTTTGAATTAATTGTCCACTCTTTAGTTTTTATAAAACGCCATTTGATTTTTCTTCAGCTAGTCTTTTTTTTGCTGGGAATATTCAAATTATTAACTTTTATTAAATAAACACAATTTATCATTAAAAACAATATATTTTATCGTTATAATTATATATATAAAAATGCAGAGTAATATAAACTCGAATAATTTTAGATGGAATAATCGTATCAACATTTATATTATTATTAAAACAACAATTACAATAAAGTGAATACAGATATAATACAAAAACGTGTTATGAACATATCACATTAATAAATTAATAAAAAAATAAATATATTTGATGATAACAAACGGTTAACGAGCGTGGACTTGTCGACATGGTTAAGATTTTTTATCTTAAACACGATTTGTAACTATTTGTCTCTTTGATTTCTTTTAAACAATCGGGAAATGAATAAAAAATCCTGACCGTGTTGTCGGGTATAATTATTTAATCACACCTGTTAAAATTTTAAATAATTTGTTGAAATGAAAGAATTGAGTTGTTTGGAGTTCTGGTGTATTAACCCTTTTAAAATAATGATAATTTATAATAAAATTATTTATAATTAATAGACTAGTTTAATTATATGATAATAATTATTAAAATATGGTTTCACATTTAAAAAATAAATTATAATTTATTGTTTTTTTATTATAAATTTTAGTAATTGTTATGTTGATGTTAATTAAAAATACATGTTGATTAACTATTTCACTTGTTTGTTGTTTATTATATTTTAATTATATTTATACTATAATAATAGTTCATTGTTTGTTTTATTTAATGTGAATTGTGAATGTATTTTCACATCATTTTACAATCAAAATAGACAGTGATCATACAACCAACATGTCAAATATTTACTGAACAGTTTATATATTACAGATGTTGCTATTAAATACATCATTATTTGTTTATTCATTTTGTTTTTGAACCATTTTTTGTGTCACGGTGTGACGGGTTAGATTCTTTCTTTAAATTTTTAATCGAAAAATCAACGACTTTCATAAAACATATACAAGACATTGAGTAATGATTTTTCAAATAACAAATCATTATAAAATCAACCAAGGAATTCACTTTATACATCAGAATGATATTATATTGTCAAGTGATTATTTGGAAAATAAAATTACAAAGACGATTTTTTATTTGTATTTTTAATCTTTAACAATAATACATTATTTTGCAAAACTTTATTGTTAAAATGTGTTCATATTTTGTCAGAGATATCGACTGTTCAATAAAATTATATTTCATAAATTGATGTAACGGATAAATCAATATCAATTATTGACACATTTATTCACATTTTGAAAATATCAAAACACATTTTTTCTTGATAAAATAATTTTTGGATATTCAAAACTATAATTTAGAATTTGTCTTTTTGTAATATAAAAATAAATACATTTTGTTTTTCAATTAGATAAAAAAAACAAAACCCTCATAAAAAGTATATAAAAACGTCATTTTTCCTCTTAGCACAATCTGTTGACTTAGCCTCAAAAGATTTTTTAGAACAAAATTATCGTTTTTCATTTTAACAGCCTTAAATAACATAAAAATTAAAATCAAAAATGGTTTAAACCCCCTTAATAACATTATTTTTGGCTCAAAAACAATTCGCAGTGATTTTTCATGGTACTCTATCCTCTTTCAGTCAAGATCTTCATGAGGTAGTCAGTAAGATCACGACCAGCAAGATCAATTCCGAGGATGGCATGTGGGAGTGAGAAACCTTCATAGATTAAGATGGCTGGAAGAGTGCTTTTGGTCATCTGAATCTTAGGTTTCCAATGGTGATAACTTGACTGTTTGAAAATTTGTTTTATTTTTCGAGTTCTGATGATGAGGCAGATTATTGCATTATTTCATTAAATTAAATGCAAGGCGGCAAAGTTATATATAGTAGTGAGTAATTATTTATTTTTTGAATTTTTATTCCAAATAAACTGTTTTTCAAAACTCTGTACTGGGATGCCCCGATTTTTTAGACAAATAATTTCTAATTATTTTTCCTTTGCTTAACCCTCATTTTTTGTTATAAATATTTACTCGAAAAAAACAAGGTAACGAACCTGACTTTTTTAAATTTTACTTGACAAATAAATCTTGCACCAAAAATTTACTTGAAAAATATAAAAAACAAACTTGGGATCAAAAATTTGATTACCATAACACAAATTTTGCCAAAAACATAAAACACAACTTTATAATTAAATGTCCATGTTTACAGAATCACCAAGTCGTGTTCTGGATAAAAATGAAAAGTACCAATGAGTAAAACAAGCATTGAGAGAAGATAAATTGGTTAAGGCTATACAATTGAAAAGTTTTTTAAATTTTTGAACTGTTTATTTCATTTAAGACTCTTTTGATTAATAACCTTGATTGTTTAAATGTTTGTTTTATGTTATCGATTACTTTTTTAATTGTTGAAATAAACAATAAATTATTATTAATTAAAGTGTTGCATTATTTGATGCAATAATGTCCTTCATTACATCATTAGTTTATTGTTATATTATCGTTTATCTTATGTTTATTTGAAAGATAGAATTTTACTCACGTTTAGTCACAAAATAAACCACTGACCAAATAACGAACCTGGAAAATCGGGGAAGATTTACCCAATATTTGTGTGATTTCCCGATTTTTTGTTCAATAATTGAAATTGTATTGAATTTTAAGGGTTTTAAACTGTGTACCGTTGTTGGTTCAACAAATAGGAAAATAAAAAATAAAACAAATAAAAAATAGTAAATAACGGGAAATTAGGACAAAGGGTTTTTATAAATTTTGGAAACGGTACAGAGTTTTGGAAAACAGTTTATATATTCAGCGAAAAAAACCACTTGTGGAATAAAACCACTTGGAAAAAATAAATGGTTCTTTTTTAATATAATTATTATTTTATGTATAGTTCAATTTTTTTGAATAATTTCTATTTTAAGGGTCAATTTAACTTAAAAATAGAAAGACCACTTTCCTTTAACCTTTTTATTTTGCCTTTTGACTTTGTTTGTTATTAAAATATTTTTTGGTAATATGAAATGGTTGTTTGTCGAGGCTATAAAAAGACTTAATCAAATAATTTAAAAAAAACAAATTATTTCTAAAAATAAAAAATTAAAACTATTCAAACGACAGTTGTTTTTACGCTTAGTTTTGGTGAAATTTTGTAATTATGAAATGTTATTTAACAAAAAAACATAAAGTTAAGACTCAAACCCACGACTGAACCTTTGTTCAACACCCTTTGTCTGATTTTTTTTCTTTTTTAGTCCCATTTATTGGGTTCATAACTTGAATACACCTTGTTGGCTATGTAACACCACCAAACAAAGTCAACATTAATACATTTTTTATATTGTTTTATAACGCTCAATAATTTATATTTCACCATTATAATCACTGCACCTTTATTACATCCACACACTTAACCAATACCTCATTTTTTCAAAAGTGCATTTGTCGGCCAAAACCAAATCTGATATTTTCAAATATATATCCACAATGTTTTGATGTGGGTCACAAACCATCATTTGATTATTTCACTCTCAAGCATCAGCGCAATGAATGTGTGCCGTTTGTTGTGTTTGAAAAAACTCAATTGGTGTGGCATTTTTTAAATTAATGTAAAATTATAACAACTTTAATCGGAATATTAAGAATTAATTATCACAAGTGGTTTTGTGAATATCGGTTTGCCCCCATAGTTTTTTACATTTTTCTGAAATTTGCCAATTTTTCAGGCAAACATTATAATAGTGTCAAGTTTTCATGTTGTGTCTAAAGTAAAATGTTTCCAAGTGGTTTTTGTTGTCGCCATTTTTTTTACAAAAACGTTGTTTGTTTGACTCTTTCCAAAACTTTTTGGTAAAAAATCAAAACAAAATATCAAATAAATGGTTGCAATAATATGTGTATGCCGAAAAAAAGGGACACGAAAACAAAGTTTTAAAACTCGGCATATTTAATAATAGTGGAAAGAAACATCAAATAAACAATATGGAAGATGTTTTCTAGTAATTTTATTTGCCAAGTGGGTGGATAAATTGAATAATAAATGCAAACATAAAAAACTGGTAAAGATTTATCATTAGAATACCAATTAAAATGTTCACAAGTGTTTTTATTGCCGGGTTAATAGTTCTGGCAAAAATACATTTTGAAAATAATATTCTTTTATACTCTAATTGGTTAAAATAATCAATAATATAATTATGTAAATTGTAGCAATAGTTTAAATTTGCCTCGAGTTGATAATTTGATAAATCAAAAAATGAAAATAATTATATTGATATTAACAGATTATTTAATAGTTAAATATCGGGAAATTAGGATAAAAAAATAAGCAAAAACCATCAAAAATAGATGATAAGGCACAAACAATAAACAATAAACAAAAAAGTAATAAAGTAGTAAAATAGTTACTGGATAACTATATTTACTATAAATTAATGAAATATAATATTTATCAATAGGGATTATTAATAAACAATAAAACATTTTATTTCATTAACATTAAATTAACGGGTTTTAATCATAATTAATAAAATAATAGTTTAATCAACATTAAAAAGAACCGTATGGTCAAAAAAGCAACTTGTTGTCTATTTTTTATCACTAAGATATCAATTGTGTTTGACCCCAATTAATGATCTTGATTGTTTAATCAATGTATTTACCTGAACATGGACGTTTTTACAAACGAACAAAAAATTGAAACAAAGAAAATGATGAAACCACTTGTTTTTGACTCGACTAAAGTTCTCCCACTTTTCAAAAATAATCAAATTATAACATCCATTTTTATTAAACTGGAGTCCGATTTAAAAACCATTTCTTTTAAAACATTTCGTGAACAGGTGGCCTTTTGTTATGAAAGCGTTTCCGAACAATGGAAAAAAGATTTTCAAAACAAAAAAATGTTCCCTTATAACTTTTCTCGAAAAACGTTTTGGTACAATTGATAAACATAGCGTTCAAACGCAAATGTTAGCCATAAAACGTGAACGTATTACTGGTGTTGTACCAGTTAATAGAAAAAGAGAGATTTAACAGACGACCAACTCAGAGAAATAGAAGGACTTGTTGTCGAAAAAAAGTAATAAAACCGGAAGAATTGGGATTTTATTTAGAAAAGAAGTATGAAATAAATTATGAAACACAATAATTACACATAAAATGAGTAAAATTGAAGGTATTAAGAAGGTGATTGCCCCAAAAATGGAAGCGGAAAGGGAGAGAGTTGATTCTCTTAAAGTTAAAAAAGGGATAACAAATTTGAAGGAAAAACTTGACGGAAAGAGAGCCGAACTCGTCTTTAA